CAGCAGCTGGGGAGTGTAAAGAACCCAGGTGATGTTCACAGAACCATTTACAGTGGGGAAAGCAACCTCTTCCCGAAGGGCAGGGCTGCCACACCTCAGGCTGCCTGGAGCTGTGAGCCTGAGCCATCAGGTACCTCAGGAGGTACCGACAGATCTACAGGATCACTTGAATTTAGAACTGGGCTTGGGCAGGTGTCAGCACCTGAAAGGAGGAAGAAGACTTGGACTGACCTAATTTTACTGGATCACTTTTCTCCTGGGCTCTGGGCCCTCCTGCTGCCTGCTCCTCTGCCTCAGCTTATCCCACCTGTTTGAGAGACACCCTATTGTGCCTAATACAGCTTTTACTTTGGAAGTAACTGCTAGTGGTGGAGAGGAGTCTGCTGTCTGCTGGCCATCCAAGGTATGTGAAGCACTAGGGAGGGGGTCAGTTGGGTTTTATTAAAATACTTTGTTCCATAAATTCAGTATTTTATATAGACTTGTTTTGGTATGGATGTATTTTGGTAAAAGTCCCCTATCCAGGAGATCTGTCATCCCTTCACTACCTACTGTTGGTCTGCTCTGAATAGATTTATCTTGTGTTTAAAAAGCACTGTAGGGCTCTGTTGGACCTCTCCTCCTCTGGAGATGTTATGGAATATCACGTGAGCTCAATGTGTCTACTCAGCAGAGTACACAGATTTCAATCCTTATGTTTGTTTCATAAAAATACTTCTACTAAACCTATTCCTGCATTCAGAAAACTTGTCTCAAAACTCTTAAGTCACTTGATTTTACAAAACAAAACCCTTTTCCCTCCTTTATCTCTGCTGGGTCCTACCACAATATCGTCATGGACTTTTCCATGTTCCTCTGTTTCCAAACAGAGAGCACCTGCACATACTGAAAATGAAGGTAAAGAAAAATACATCCTTGCCAAAGCAAAGAACTTGTTTAGCAGCTTACACAGTCATCTTGTAAAAACTCTTTCTGGACAGTATTTCTTTCAGAGAGGGCCATAAACTTTGCTTACACATATTAGGTGAGACAACTTCAATGAGAAGATGCTCAACACCTTCATGCAAATCCATGGCACACCAGCTTTTAGGGAAGGTTGTCCTGGAAGAGCATTGCACATTTACTCTCTGGATTTCAGTGGAACTGTACGTGTGACTCAACCCAGAGATTCTTATCATCAATTCTCAACCCCCTGCCTATGGTGAAAGCTCTCCCTTGTTAGATTTGTGCTTTCACAGAGAATAAATTATTTCTGTGCAAGAAGTGAGGCCAGTTGGATTTTGGCCAGTTGGAGCCTTGCTGGGCTGTGCTTTCGTGAGCAAAGCACCACCCCAGTAACAAGAACACTTAGTCTGCACTTCCGAGAGCTGAGAGAACTTTTGGGGAAGCTCTTTGCAATAGTAACTGGAGGCACCAGCAGTGTGGCTAAAGCAAAAGAATCTATCACCCCTGTTTTATTGTGGCTTTCAAGTGTAACATTCATGGTGTGCCTGACTTTTCTGAGTGATTTTCTTGTATGAAACCTTCATTCTAACGAAAAAAAAAAATTTATTGCTATAAATCAGAAATGACTCGGGACATGAAGAGAATTAAAGGTCAGTGGCAAATAATGTGAGCAAGTCAAGAGTGTCAAAGCAAGAAAAACATGTATTGCAAATGGGTCACAAAGCCCTGCAAAGAAGGTTTGATCAAACATCTTCTCCAAAGTAAATTTACCTTCAGAGATCCTTTGAACAACATCCAATTTTAAACAGCCTTTAATCTTTACCTGGAGACCAACAGCATTTGGAACATCAGAACATTCACAAGAAGTTTCCAATCATGTAGAAAAATGGGTTCAAAGTTGTGAAATGCATTCATGAGCTTATATGGTTAAGGGAGGATAGAAGCAATGCTCTCCATTTTCCCCTTATGCCACTGTGTATGTCTTCCAGTTGAGTCCAGTGATTTTTATTTTTTTTTTTCATTTAAAGCTGGTATTTGAAATACCAAAGTTTAAATAAGGAAGGGTTTGTAGATGGAAAGGAAAAGGCATTGTGAAGGAACAAACATAAGAGGGGGCAGTTACTCAGCAGTTACTCAGTCTGTCAAGGTCCTGGGCAGGCAGGTGATGTTTGAAGAAGCAACTCTACATTATCTCTACATTACATTATAGCTATTTTTAAGCAAAATCTGATCTTAGTCACCTTTATTTTAAGCTAAACCAGAAGTCTCAGTGACTTTGTACACTGAGGTTAGCAAAACAGAACAAAAAGAGGAAGCAGGGCTGTTGCTGTGCTGCATGTCCCGTAATACCCTCCCAGACAAATATATCCCTTCCCCACCACCCCTCGTGTCAGAGAAGAATTAGTGCAAGTTTCTCTTACCCACTTGCCATGCCAGGAAGTTTTTCTCTTAGCAAATACTCTGAGCAGGGCTAAGACAACCTCAGAAATCCTCCTGGTAGTCCAAGGCGTGGAGCTGTCTCCCTTTTATACCCCGGGGACTGTCACTCCCCCTGACAGGCAGCACAAAAGGGAAGGGACAGGCAGGAGGTGCCAAACCCCACAAGCACCACAGCTCACGCCTCTCTCAGCACAGGAACACTCAGACCAGGAAGTCACAGCCACCTGCACCTGGCTCCTGCTTTTCCTCCCCTCCTCCAGCCGGGAATACCGGGGACAGCAGGGACACTCACGGCCACCGCCGCCTCTCCCACCTGGATTTCCAGATGCAGTCCTGAGATCCCTGCAGGAGCTTCAGGCATGAGTCAGGGCACTGCATCTGGATTATTTCCTAAGCAGATTTTACATTTGTGAGTGACTTTTGGGCCCCAGAAATAAGCACTGCAAGTCTGAAAGCCCTGAGAGGGACAGGGCATTCCAGTCTTGCTATTCCATGTACAGTTATTATTTGACAATAGAAGGGAAGATGATAAAAAAAATTATAGGTGGGGAAGGAAAAAACCTAACATATGCTTCTTAATTCTTCTCTGTTCTTGTGAATATTAGGAGGCATTACAACAAAGAAATGCTTTAGAAAGGCAGCACTTTGCATGCAACACTGGAAGCAAGTGGTGGCAGGTGCTGGTAAATGCAGGTACCCACTCCAACACTTGTCCTGAGAAACTTGCATTCATTATGTGCTTAAGTGAACCTTCAGATGGTTTAAAGCCCTTTTTTGTTTGACTGGTAATTTTAGTATTTTCTTCATGATAATTAACTCCTGAAAACATAGCTTTAAGTCTAAACTTTATATATTTATATATATTTCTTTATATTTAATATACAATATTTATATATAAGTATACGTATAAATATATATAAATATAAATATATATATACAGAAGCCAAAATGGCTTGGTGTTAGGCTACCAGTTATAGAAGTGGTTCTGCACCTCTGGTCCATGTACCCCTTCAAAGAATCACATTAGAGCCAGATAAAGCCCCTGACAATGAAGACACCTGACACATACAATTGCACAAGGAATAAGACTCAAAACACATAGAAGTGAAGCTTCCTTATGACACTGATATCTCAGACTTGAATATCCTTAATTTGAACAGAAATTTTCCTTATCATTTTTTACCAGTATTTATTGCAGTTCTGGGTAAACATAAAAAAATCCAATGTCCTGGATTTATCAAGTGCCCCAGTTTATCAGCTGAATGCAGGAACTCTTTTTCTAGGTTTTCATTTAAAATACAAAAGCCAGTGGGCATATTCTGTCTGTAAGAAAGTTGCAACTTCTTTACTCACACGAAAGAGCCCAGATGGGAGCCCAGGGAGTTTCCATTTACAAGCAGTGACATCACTGGGGTCAGTGTTTAAGTTAATCTTTGATAAAATTGCACAGGTCGGGTCAGCAGCATCACCAGCAATCTCAAAACCAAATGTGTACATAGATCTGGTTTAAAAGTCTTTCACGTGATTTAGACGTTGAGCTAAGAAAAACAAAGGCATCCCACACTGAAAGGGGTGTGTTCAGCAACAGCAGTGAAGGACTGAGCAAGGGCAAATTGATCAGAGAATTTGGGTTGTTCCAGGTCTAATGCAGTAAGAAAACCCGAGTGTCCAGAGAGCAGCCTTGGAAAGTACGTGGTTTGGCTCTCTCTGCAGAAACCCATTGCACAGGGGTTTTTTGTGCAAGAGTTGAGGCCAGGCTGCCCCTGCTCTCTGTTCCTCCTTTTCTGTCACCCAAAAGAAGACTGAGCATGTGGACTAATTAGCACAAGAAGTGAGGGAATCATTTAACCAACAGAAGATAGAATACGAATTAATAGGAGAACTATGCCACTTGTTGCCAGTGAGCAATAATTCCTTTGTTTGATGTATGATTCCTTTGTTTGATGTATAATTCCTTTGCTAACATATATGAACAATGAAAAGTTCAGAACAATCCCGGGAACCATCACCAAGAAGCCCGGGGAGAGGAAGGACCAGCGGGACACCCCTGGGACCCATGGGTGGGTAACTAATTAAACAAAACCCACCCTATGGACTTCGGCACACGGGCTCCTTGGCACCTTAATTCGGGAAGAATTAGGACAAGAGGGCACGGTCTCAAGCTCTGCCAGGAGAGGTTTAGGTTGGATATTAGGAAGAAATTCTTTACAGAGAGGGTAATCAGGCCCTGGGATGGGCTGCCCAGGGAGGGGGTGGATTCTCCGTCCCTGGAGGTGTTTAAGAAGAGACTGGATGTGGCACCAGTGGCACGGGCTGGGTACCACGGCGGGGCTGGATCAGGGGTTGGAGCTGATGATCTCGGAGATCTTTCCCACGGTGATTCCGTGATTCCAAGAGCCGCCTGTCACTAATTGGACCGGACCCCGCTCTGGGGTTATTCAGGCGGTTAAGAGAGGGTAAAAGGCTGCGATAACACAAAATCGTCCATCCTCCCCGTGCCCCCGAACAGTCCCCGCCAGCACCGCCCGCCGTGACGTCACGGGGCGGGGCTCAGCTCTGCCGCTCGTGACGTCACGGGAGCAGGAGGCACATCCCACCGTGACGTCACGGGAGCAGGAGGCACATCCCAGCTGACGTCACGGGGCGGGCCGGGCGGTGCCTGCGGGGCGGTCGGGGAGCGATGGGAGCGCAGCTCAGCGTGGTGAGTGCCGGGGGTCGGGGTGGGATGGCATGGCATGGCATGGCATGGCATGGCATGGCATGGGGTGGCAGCGGAGCAGGAGCGGTCCCTGCCACCCCCCGGTGCGGGACGGTCCCCCCGCCCATCCCCGGCTCCCCCCGCAGGGACACCCGCGGCCTGGCGGTGCCCCGGGCTGCTCCGCGGGGGGCTCTGCTCGTGTCCGGCCGCTCCCAACCCTCGGCCGCGCAGCTGCGGGTGCGGTTTTCCCTCCGTCGGGATCAGCTGGAAGGGAGTAGGTTCAGGTCGGCTCTTAGGAAGGCATTCCTCCCTGGGAGGGTGGGGAGGCGCTGGAACAGATTGCCCGAGCTTGTGGCTGCCCCATCCCTGGGAGTGTCCAAGGCCAGTTTGGACGGGGCTTGGAGCCACCTGGGATAATGGAAAGGTGTCCTGCCCATGGCAGGGGATTGGAACTGGATGAGCTTTAATGTCCCTTCCAGCCCAGCCCCTTCTCTGATTCCATGATGGTAAATGGTGGGGTCTGCAGCGCTGTCCTCTCTCCCGTGCATCATCCCCCTCTTTCCCCAGACCTTCATCCCTGTTTCCTTTGTCTTACACACCTGCTCGGACGCTGCTGGGTTTGGGAGAGGGGCAGGACGGAGCTGGATGCAACATGTGCTCGTTTGGGCACGGCTCCTTGGTGGGTGCACTGAACGGAGGAGACGAGGCAGACGCTGAGGCTGCAGAAGTGAAGAGATCCCTTTATCCTCTCATCGTTTTCTAAGACAGATGAGAAGAATGTCTAGCTAAGATCACTTCAAAAACAGGGTTTGAACGAGGGAGTGAGGGGAGGGGGATTGGAGCTGAGGGTCCCAGGGTTTTCGTGCCAAAGCAGGGTTTGGTTTGTGTGTTTGTAGGGCAGGTCGGTGCTGGAGTGTCCAGCCTGGGGCTGTGCTAACTGTGCCCTGCTCACCACGCCCCAGCAGCTGGCAGTCTCCATGCTACGGCTTTTCTCTTTGTTATCACACCGGGCTCTTTCCATGAGTAAAAATTCCTGCTCAGTTACTAATTCTGTGTTCTCTGTTAGCAGAGATTTGTGCAGCTGGAAATGATGAGTCACCAGCTCCTCATTTAGTGATTTGCCTTTTGGTCACTCTCAGCTGCTGGGGACCTGATGCAGCTTCCATGGATGCAGTGCAGTTATCTTCATTAACACCTTAGTCTGCCCTGTGCTGAGAGCTTACAGATCATTTTTAACCCAGAGAATGTTTTTCTTAGCAGGCATAACTTTTTATACTCATTCAGCCTTCGGTTCTTCCCCTTTTTTCTCTGCCCACCTGCTGATAGCTTCTGAGTAGGGAACTGAAATTACCTGAATTGGTGGGTGTGCTGTTTCTTTCCAGGCCAGATCCCACGAGGCTTTTGCACTAATTGACCATGCAAAACAAATTGCCTTCCACGAGGCTAACGCTGTGTTCAGATTATTTGTCCAAACCAAACCGCATTCTGTTCCAGCACAGTCACTGCTGCACAGAGTGATGATGATGCACATTTGGGGACAGAGCGTGTTAATCTCCTTTACTGAACAGCTGTGGGAGTTTTTGCTTGACAGCTGGTGACCCCAAAATTATTTGCAAAGGTGGGAGAAAACATTTATCTCTGCACACAGGTGGAGAAAGTGACTTGCAGAGACGGCTGTTTGAACCCCACCCTCCTCCTGCCTTCCCAGTCATGGTACTGATATTAATGTTGGAGTTGGGGCTGAGCCTGAGGTTTTGAATTCCCGTTTTCAACTGCATTTTTGCCAGACAACAGCAGCATTATTTGCAGTTTTTTGGTCCATTTTAGACAGGCACATTTGTAAATGAAACCATTTTGACACATTAATATTTCATTTGAAACACCATCTGCCTCAGAGTCAGATTGCTGTTGCCACCAGGTCTCATTCCCCTGCTAAATTCTCATTAGGGAGTTTCGTTGCTGCTCTGTCACTTTCTTAAACAACTCTCCTCACTTCCCCTTTGTTGTGTCAGTAACAAAAGCTCTTCCCAGAGCTGCAGTAGTCTGGTGGATCTGTGGGAGTTAAGGAAGAACATTCCTATAAACTTCACCTTCATCACAAACAAGCTGTGTGGAGCTATTTCAGTTTTGTGTTTTTTTCAAATAAACGTGGAAAATGCAGTGTGTGGGTATGGCATGGTGTGTCCTGGAATTGTACGCAGTGTTGGTGCATCTTAAACCCCTACAGCAGCATTTTAAGAAGAGAGAAATTACACTGTCCCTGACTTGCCACAGTTTCAGTAAGAATAATGTAGGAGGTTTGGGAGTTTGTTTTTGTTTTGTTTAAATGGTCTCCTGATCAATGTCACACTTGCAGAAATGGCATTCTAAAATAGTGGTCAGGCCCCTTTAAAATAAAATGAAAGTGAAAGCTAACCAGGCAGGACTGCGAGCTCACCAAATAGTCGTGCTTTCCCCCTCTCCTCTGTTAAAGCACTGAATAACAAATTACAGCGGCTGAGAGGATTTTTTTAAGTAGTTGTTCTCTGGATGGAGCAGCACAGAGACACTGGCAGGGCAGGGAGCCCAATTAACCCACTCAGGGACAGGAGCCCTGGCCCTGCCCAGAGCTTTCAGGGGGCCCTTTGCCCCGTGGGCCCCCAGTGATGCCCAGCAGAGGCTGTGGAGATGATTCAGGGACTGGAGCAGGGAGGTGGCACCAGTTGACCCTCTGTGGTCCCTTCCAGCCTGACCCACTCTGTGATCTGCACATGCCAGTGGGGGGGACGTGGGATGCAGAGGATGAACATCTGGGACATTTAGGGCAGGAGTAACTGGGAATCCTGGTCAGCTGGAAGTGCCTCAGCGTAGGAATAACGCCATGTATTCATGAAGCAAATCTGTGTGTTACACTTGCTGCTATTTGTTGTTGTTTGGTATTTTTTAATAATACTTCCTGCTCATATTAGTATAAAGAAACAGTTTATTTTTTTTTTGGTGGCTAGATTGTCCTGCCATGCTCCCATAGACCTTCTCACCAACATAACTTCCTCTCGTTGTGCACACAAGTCTGACACTCTCTCTGTGTTGCTGCAGTTGCGTCAGGTTGTGACGTACCCAATATGGCTCATCTACACCACCATCATGAGGATCTTCAGGAACCCCCATCCTGCCATCACCCTGAAGGATCCTGACGTGAAGTATGCACTGAGGCTGATTGATAAGGAGGTGAGTGCACGTGGAGTGCTGAGCACAACCTCTCTGCATGGACACTGAAATGCTCAGAGCTTCTGAAAGCTTGGGTGATGTCACAGCAGGGTGAATACAACCGTGTTGATACTGATTCCTGGTACTGGATTGTTGCATTTGAATGTGTTACAGGAAGAAAAGTGTTTAAATCATTGAAAGGTGTTTCAAGCATGTAGTCCTTGACAGCGCCTGAGCTGTCTCAGCTTCTCTTTGTTAGAAGCACCTTCTGGTACAGAATGAAATCCCTGCTCAGCCAGCATTTCAGAGGAAAGTCATGACCCTTTCAGGGGGGGAGCTTGCCATCAGAAGTTGGTAACTCAGCTTGTGGGAGTGGGACCAAAGCCACCAAAGGTGAAAAGTCCATGTTCCCCTTGGATAAACCCACCATCAAAGGCATGAGATAGAAATCCTGGGGTTTTGGGTGTAAAGTCGCACCTGAGGATCTTTTTAGTGTTGACTTTTTAAGTCAGTGAACTGGTCATCAATTTATCAGAAGACTTTTGATAAAAAGAACTTTGGACTGGAACGAGCTTTGTTTGAGGTGTAGGCAGTGCTCTGATAGCTTGGCTTTCACTTGTTCTGCGTGTCAAGGGAAACAGTCACTGCCATTCCAAATCCTGGTTCCGTGGGAACTGAAAGCTTCCCTGTGGCTTGGGCTGGGCTGCATTGCTGAGTTTATTTCCCATGTGCAGTTATGGAATTTATTTCCCATGTGTGCTGCAGCCACTCTGTAATTATATGCTCCCCACTTTCTCCAGCTTTGCATTTGCAGCTTGAGATGGGAATGCCTGGGCCAAGGGCTTCCAGGAGTTCAGGGCAGTGCCCAGATGGCACTGGGGAACGCAGGGATGGCACTGGGGAACGCAGGGATGGCACTGGGGAACGCAGGGATGGCATGGGGGAACGCAGGGATGGCACTGGGGAACGCAGGGATGGCACTGGGGAACGCAGGGATGGCAGGGGGGAACGCAGGGATGGCATGGGGGAACGCAGGGATGGCAGGGGGACATGGGGATGGCACTGGGGAACGCAGGGATGGCACTGGGGAACGCAAGGATGGCAGGGGGGAACGCAGGGATGGCACTGGGGAACGCAGGGATGGCACTGGGGAACGCAGGGATGGCAGGGGGGAACGCAGGGATGGCAGGGGGGAACGCAGGGGATGGGCACTGGGAATGCAGGGATGGCAGGGGGAACGAGGGATGGCACTGGGGAACGCAGGGATGGCATGGGAGAACGCAGGGATGGCACTGGGGAACAGCAGGGATGGCACTGGGAAGCCAGGGATGGCAGGGGGAGACGTAGGGATGGCATGGGGGAACGCAGGGATGGCACTGGGGAACGCAGGGATGGCAGTGGGGAACGCAGGGATGGCACTGGGGAACGCAGGGATGCCAGGGGGGAACGCAGCCAGAGTGATCCCACACTGGAAATGGCTCCTGCATCCCGGGTCAGGGCTGGCTGTAGTGCAGAATGGCTGGCTCAGTGCCTGCTGTGTGACAGAGCAGAGGCACAGCCTTGCTGATCTGGGGACTAGGAGTGTCTGGATCCTCTTGGTGCCTCTTGTGATGCACCAAAATCCTTGTGTTCAGTCCCCTTCAGCTGAGCCATCTAGACTTTAACTGATGAGATGATTAAATGGGACTTGAGAACTTGGTGCTCTCTGTGTGAGGGTAAAGAGAGCGTAATAAAAATACGGGATTATTGGCAAAATCCAGCTTTGAAGTAGGGAAGCCGGTGCTGAAGGTTCCACTCAGGAACAGCAGCAGTCAGTGTGAGAGCAGCAGTGTTAACTCCACAGCACTTGTCTTTCTAGAGGAAATTTTATTGGAAGGTACTGCTCCTGAATAGACATAAGTACAGAGAAGCCCTTTTTTGGCTGCCAATCAGTTCCCTTTTCCTTCAGAATTTACCTCAAAATGAGTTGTTGTGAGGAAAATTTCATCAGTGTGAGCAGAGTAAGGGAAGATGAGACAAACTGTGATGAGGAAAGAATCTGTCTCCATTGGTTAGTTTAAAAATAAATAAATAAAGTAAAATAAATATATATATATAAATAAACAAAATAAGGGTTACCGTGTTTTATGGAATGTTCATGACATTTCCTCTAGTCCCACAGAGCTTTAAAAAAAGGAAGTCAGTGGATGAGACATTGAGCTCTGTGCTGTGCCTTTCTGTCTTTCTTTGCTGTGTTTTCCATTCCCATCAATATGACCTGATTTTTAAAATATAAAACTTACATAGCACAAAAAATTACATTTTATTTACTTATTGCCAAACTTTTGTTCAAGGTATGACTTTCCTCGTAAAAGATTAGAATAATTATCCCAGCTGGACTGCATACATTGTCATAATTTTGTAATAAAGTTCATATCTAAGTAGAGTGCTCTTTTCATTTTTATTTACAGATTAATTCAGTTTTTACAGGGAAAATATTTTTAAGGCTCTTAGCATAGCAAAAGGAACCTGGTTGCTACTTCCTAATCTTGACAGCCACTGGTGTCTTCCGAAATCATCTTCTGCATTGAAATGGTTATTTCACCTGATTTTGAGAGATCAAAATCAAAATATTTTTGCCTTGAACTACTGCATATTTAAATGAGAACTGAAGAGCTAATTAATTTTTATCTTGTGGCCTTCTCACAGAAGGCAGTGTAAATGCTCATAGTATTTAGAAAGTTATCATTTAACCTTAATTTGCATATGAGGATCATTAACATTTGGTATTCAAATTTTAAATATACAGCAGAATGGTACTTATTTCTATTTTTAATCCTATATTACTTCTGAAATATTTTGAGAGAAGTTTTCAGGGGGTTGAAGGAAAAGCTGCCCTCAGAGTTCACATTTGCATCACGCAAAAATGCCAGCTGGGGTGCTGCTGTCCCCCAGATACCTAATCCTGCAGGAGGCCAGGGCAGGGTGATGGTTTTACAAGGGGAATCACAGACTTTACATCTTTAAACCCCAGCCACACAGCTCATTGTTCGTTCCATTCCCCCTTTCAGGAAGTCAGCCACGACACGAGAAGATTCCGATTTGCTCTCCCTTCCATGGAGCACGTCCTGGGTCTGCCTCTAGGTACGTTCCCTGGGAAGAATCCAAGTGTTAATTAGCCTACAGGAGATTTTAGGGGGATTTTTTTTCCCATGTTTGGGAAATGAGCTGTTGAGTTTCCAGTGCTGTCCCTGTGGCTTGAGCTGCTATTTGGAGCTTTGCAGGATTATCCTCACGCTGTGTGTAATCTGCAGGGTCTGAAAGGTGGTGTGCTTACAGTGAGTGTACATCCAGCTTGTTCCCCTGAAGGGAACACACTCAAACACTGGCCTTTAATTGTATTTTTCCAGTCTCAGCTTTCCAGCCTGTGTTATTCCTGTGGTGTTTGATCCCTTTCCATCCCCTGGGGCACCACTCTGAGCCACTTCTCCTCTAGCAACACGTGGTCCACCAGGTGATCTCCTCCTCACCTCTGAATTTGCAGCCACTCTCATGGAATTTCCCAATCCCTGTGGGGCAGCTGCTTCCACAGGCCTTGCCTTCCATCATCTCTCAGTGCCATTGGATACAAGCTCCTGCTTGTATACAAAGCATTTAATTGTGGCTTGTGTTTAATGGTGAATTCTGCTCTGACAAGCTGTTGCAAAGGAGGAACAGGAGCTCCCTGCAGGTCTCCCCTGTGCTGCCAGAAGTGTGGAGGCTTTGCTGAGGGGTTTGTAGGAGCCACCCTTACGCTGTGTCCGTGTCCAGCTTCAGCTCAGTTGGGGTTGCTCATCTCCCAGGTCACCAGGTGGCACATCTTCATCCACCCACTGCTTTGCCTGCACTTTGTAATCCTCCTGAAATAAGGAATTAACCTTGCCTGAATGGTCAGCTGCTTCTGAAGCTGATGGAATATGGTCATTATGATCATTTGCAAACCAGCCCGTGGTAAAATTCCCTCTTTGTGTTCCCACAACAGGCAGGGGAGACAGTTTGTTCTGTTGACCTAGTGATAAAATAGCAAAAAACAAACCCTTCACCACCCCTTGCCCTCAGTTATTCTTCACTTGGGTCTCTTCAGAATGTTGAAATTTTATACGAAAACCTTTCAGAGAAGTTAATTCTTTTTTTTTTTTTTTTCACAAAAATGTTGACATTGAGGAAAGAAACTACTGTAGATTGTTCAGAGAACATGTGACAGGTGGAAATGTGATCACAGCATTCACATGTTAAGCTGGAGGAGTAGCAGGGTCAGAAAAGGGCTTTGTGTCTGGGCAGCCTTAGCAAAGAGACCTCCTGGGAAGGCGTGGGGGATCTGTGGTCAAAATAAGAACACTTATAAACTCAGTTTTAACTAAACTGTGGCAGTTTGTAACTAAGATGTTAATTAAGAGGTGTGAACATCACTGGACAAGTTTCCCCTCCTGTGGCCTTTCTACTTGTCTGTACAGGAGAGGCAAATCACATCTTTTGCAGATCTCTCGTACATTTAAGGGCCGTGGTAAATGTGAAGGTGTCAGCAGAGATGTGACTGACACATAAAACTGGCAGCAGAGTTGTTTGCCCTTGCAGGTAAAATCTGTGCGGGGTTAACAGCTCTGGCAAGGTGTTACAGTGTCAGGAAAGTGAGAGAGGCAGAAGTCATGCCCCAAAATAAGGTGATGAGGAGAACTTCGAGGCTGCATTTGCAGCCCACACACAGTGAACATCCATGGAGTAAAAAAATCCTTTGCAACTAAAATGTCTCTTTCCTTTCCCTGCGGGCAGGGCAGCACATCTACCTGTCTGCACGCATCGACGGGGCGCTGGTTGTCAGACCTTACACCCCCGTCTCCAGTGACGACGACAAGGGCTTCGTGGACCTCGTTGTCAAGGTGAGAACGTCGTGCTCTGTCACCAACAACCCACCAGGCATTCTGCAGCCACCTCTTTAGTGTCTCCTGAGATGCTGCACCATTTCCTGGACTCCCCTGCTGGGCTTTTCCAAAACCTGGCGAGATCTGCAGGTGTTCATAGGCTTTTTAATCTTTCTGGAGTGAGGAATTAACCTTGCCTGGATGGTCAGCTGCCTCTGAAGCTGATGGAATATGGTCATTATGGTCACTGAGAGCGGTGACCATGGTTGTTACTGATCCAGCCAGTGTGAATGACTGATTTCATTGCTAAGAATGTGATTTGAAGTCTTAGGATAATGTCCTTTTGTTTCGTCTCCTGGCAGCTGGATTACCTAGCTAGGCTGTCATTTAAAGCTGACAGGAATTTAAAATATGAATATCTGCACTGGACTTCCTCTCAGAATTTTACTTTTTGAAATCACTGGTGTGGGCTTTTTTATTTTTCCTGCCCCCTTTTGAACTTGGGTGTAAATTATGCTGATTATTAGTGATACTTTCTGTGTTACAGAAATACAATGGAGAAATTGCCAGTCTGTGTCCAAAAACTGGGGCAAGAGTGGCATTTTAATCTTCTTTTTGTCAGTCAGATCTGCACTGGTATTTCTTTAGGGAGTAATTATGTTCTTTGCATGAGGAACATGTTTATAAATATTGCCTAAAAATATTATTATACCTATAACCCTAAATATTTGAAGGGCAAATGCTGACCTTTGAGCTGTGAGATCAATTCCTCCGTTGTTTTTAACAGGTCTACTTCAGAGGTGTCCACCCAAAGTTTCCTGATGGGGGGAAGATGTCTCAGTACTTGGACAGCCTGAAAATAGGGGACACCATTGACTTCAGAGGACCAAGTGGCCTCCTTGTCTACAAAGGAAAAGGCAAGGCTGCTTTGAACGATGTAACTTAAAATATAATAAGTTGTAAATAATACAGGAAAAATGACCTATTACTGTAGAAGTGCTTGTTCTTGATATTGTTCTCAAACAAAGGGAATTTTCTCCCTGCTGTCATGGCCATAGTTTATACACTGATAAAAACACCCAGCATTTGCACTGCCCAGTGCTAATTTCCCAAGTGAAAATGAACTTTAGGAGCAGGCAGGACTTTTGTGTCACTGTAAAACATCTCACTTTGGCACAGTGCAGCCCCCAGCGTGTCACAAAAAACCTTCTGGCAGTTTTGTGAGCAGCACAGCTCCCAGCACGTGATTTTCCAGAGCTTTGTATGTACCACTCATGCTGTCCTGGATGAAGAGGGCTGTGAATACAACAACTATAACATTCTGGGGAGTTTCAAACTCTGTCAGGTCTGGCTGAAACTGGCAAATCAGCTCAAAAAGAAGAATATACAGAAAAAAATATACAAAAAAATACACCCTGCATGTTTCAGGTTGCCCCTTAAAATAATCTGCACAGGGTAAATAAACTCTCTGAGCAGATTAATTCCTTTCTGTAGAACTCTTTCCAGAACCTGGGCTTCTGCATATCACTGGGGCTGTGGGATGTGAGCAAATAGAAGTACAGGTAGTGATGTGTTGATGTCAGGAGTGAGTAATAACCCATGTCAGTGTTATCCTCATCATCTTGCAGGATTTAATTCGTGACATCTTCCCCTTTGCTGTTTGCTGGGAGGGAAAGGTAACAGGGCTGAAACAAAGGCAGTTAGGGATTGGAGAGGGCTAACAGGCAGTGTTGTGCTCTCCTCAATGCTTTCATCCCCTTCTCTCTTCAGGCAAGTTTGATATTCGGCCAGAGAAGAAAGCTGAGCCGGTTCCTAAGACAGTGAAGTACGTGGGGATGATTGCAGGTGGGACTGGTATGTATCTATGAGGATTCACCCCTGCTTTCTCAGAGCTGGGAGATACATTTTCTCTCACTTCTCCCTTCCTTTGCTCCTTCACACTCCTCTCACATGCCTGTCCTGCCTTTCTCTCCCAGGGATAACCCCAATGCTGCAGATCATCAAAGCAATCATGAAGGACAAAGATGACCCCACTGTCTGTCAGCTGCTGTTTGCTAATCAGGTAATTCCCTCCTCTTTTTATGTCTGTGAAGTTTTACTTAACTACAGAACTCCACTCAGCAAATGAAATCCTTTCTGAGGAACCTGGTACAGAAATGCAAACCCCGAGGGGAGGAGTGAACTGAGATGTTGGACACTTGCCATATAAAAGCACTGCAAACAATTGGGATTTTAGCACTGCTGCAGAAATGCTGCTTTCCTCCCAGCTAATGCTCGTTTTCCTGTGACTCACTGCTCTGCTTCTAATCCAGTTCATGAGTGTTGTAAAACTCTGCATTCCTTTGGGCAAGTTGGTAAAGTTTTGGGCAGACTTTCAGAGCTGTCCTTCTGAGTGCAAACGTGACAGAGGTGGGTATTTATCTCCTCCAGCAGCTGTGATTCCCCAGCTTTGCAGCAGGGTTTGTACATGGGGTCTTTCTCTTTGAGGACACCTTAGGTGAGGCTTTAAATATCTCCATTTAATGGGGATTTGTTTCTGGATTCTGAGTCATTATTTGTGGGGAGCTTCACTTCCTACCTTGTTTTTTAGCTGCTTTAGGCTCTTCTCTGTTATTCCTCTCTCCTCTCACATTCAGTGTGTCCTCATTTCATTTGAGCCCACAAGGAGGATGGGGAGAGACTATTTCCAAGGGCCTGGAGTGCCAGGACATGGGGAATGGCTTCAAACTGACAGAGAGCAGGGTTAGATTGGATATCAGGGAGAAATCCTTCCCTCTCAGGTTGCCCAGAGAAGCTGTGGCTGCCCCATCCCTGGCAGTGTCCCAGGCCAGGTTGGATGGGGCTCTGAGCACCCTGGGCCAGTGGAAGGTGTCCCTGCCCATGGCAGGGGGTTGGAACTGGATGATCTTTAAGGTCCCTCCCAACCCAGGCCATTTTAATATTCTGTGATATCTGAGTTACAAGCTGAGATTTTTCTGCCCACGAGCTGTGATCCAAGTGCCAAGATTCCTTTTCCAGAGGATCCCTGCCAGTGCCCTCTGCTGCTGGCTGGAGCAGCTGGGCTCTGCCAAGCCTTAGGAGTTGGCACAAAGTGCAGTGGTGTCAGGGCAGGAGGGCCAAGGTTTGCTGTGAGTAATTCAGGATGACTAACACGGGGCTGGAGCTGCTTTAACAACACAGAAAACCCAGTGCTGCTTGCAGGGAGGGCTGGGGGAACAGTCCCTGTGTGTGAGCAACAGGCTGTGCAAACATCAGTGCAGGGCTTTCCAGTCCTCCCACCAGTAACTGCACAAATAGAAGGCAGTTTTAAAAGACACTGAAATATTTAAAACATTTAAACAGATTTAAAACCATGTGCTTGGGCTCCTGCTGTGCTGGGTGGCACTCCTTGAACTGGTCAGATCCAGCAATAGCTTTCCTGGACCTGCAGCTGTGGGTGCTCCAGGAATAGGCAGCTTCTTGGGAATAGCTGCTGGCACATTCCTGCTCACCCCCTTCCCCCCCAGTTACAGACATAGCAGTGACCTCAGTGCCACACTGCTGAGCCTGCAGAGGGTGGCACCACTTTTAGTCTCTACCCTTTCCCTTCCTGCCCAGGCTGCAGCTGTTCCTACAGAAATAAGGCTTTTCTTCTGGCCTTCAGTGCTGGTACATCAGGGAGGAGCAAACTTGATACCCTGGGTAACATCTGTGGTTCCAACCAGAACCTGACACCCTTTTGGTAGTTTGTTCCATATCCTTTTTAAAAACCAGGCAGTCTCCATATGGCAGTGCTGATGATGCTGGAACTGGCAAAGGTGAAAGGGAGGTATTTCTGTGCACTCATAATGAGTTTTTTGGTGAAAGTTGCTTTTGTAATAAGAGCTAAAAAGGGCTTTATTCTTCTGATTCCCTGATTAGGTGGTGGTTCTGTGTTTTGATCCAAGTTCTGCTTTGTTTCATTTTTAGAGGGAAGGCATGGCATGGTCAGGATTTGGGAAAGTTCCTATGAACCTTTTTATTAGCTCTGCCACAGGATAGGCAGGGAAATAACTTGTGCTTGCTCTCTTCAACCTGTAAACCAGAGCTGAGTCACCTGTTCGTCTCTCAGGCCTTGCAGAGGAGCTGCTGCTCTGTGGTGATGTGAGGGCTGCACTCAGATGTGTGATCACTGTTCTCCTCCTGCAGACTGAGAAGGACATCCTGCTGCGGTCCGAGCTGGAGGAGATCCAGGCTCAGAATCCCGGGCGCTTTAAGTGCTGGTACACGCTGGACAGGGCCCCTGAAGGTAAGAGCTGGAGTGCCACCCTGTGACTCCTGTGTCAATGCCTGTGTGTCACAGGAGACATGCCTGTCACTGTATGGCTGAGCCCAGTGACTGAGCTCTCGCTTACTGAACTCTGGGTGCATCCAGGAGCATCGTTCCTCACACAGGGATCACAGTCAGTGTCCTCCTGGAATTTCTGATCACTGCTCCTCTTCCATATTTGGGAATTTTTAAGTGACCTTAGACCCCCTCGAGACTGTTCTGCAGGCTTTCATTTGTGAAACCAGACCAAAACCAGGAGGAGAAACTGTCTTACTGTGCCCAAAGGTTTGGGTCAGCAGCTTTTTTGCATCCAGGGCTGGGAATGTGATGGTTAAACCTGAGTCCCAGCATAACTGATTATCACTGTGAGTGTTTTCCAACCAGGAACAACTCCAGCAGCTGGGTTGCTCCTTTCTAAAGTGATCTGTTTTTTGTCTTTTCCTCCTTTTTCCCTTGTTCCCCTTCCCCTCACTTTGTTTTTTTAACAGGTTGGGAATACAGCCAAGGATTTGTGAACCAAGAGATGATCAGAGACCACCTGCCCCCACCTCAGAACGATGTTCTGATCCTCATGTGTGGACCCCCTCCCATGATCCAGTATGCCTGCATTCCCAACCTGGACAAGCTGGGCTACTCCAAGGACATGAGGTTCTCCTTCTAAAGACAACTGGTAATTCAGGATCTTATGGAGAAAGGAAGGGAAAAAAAAAACATTTAACAGGGAACAGGACAAAGTTAAGGGGGCTGATGCACAGTGCTGGGAAGCTACATTTACCTTAAGAATGCTTCATATTTTCTGGCTCTCTGGCAAGTGAGACACACAAGCTCAGCTGTACTAAAGCTGTGCCTGCACAGGCAGTGGTGCTCTGTGTGCTCCATCTCCAGGGAGCACAGTGCAGCTGCTCAGGGCAGCACACACACTCCTTTATGCTTTTTCTCAGCCCTGTAATCAGGCAGCAGTAATATCCTACTTCCTAACACTGTGCACACCCAGGGTTTTATTTGGTATGAACCATGGAAGTAACAGAATGTGGTGGATTATTCACGTTGCTTGTGCCAAACTGTAATCCTCGAGGAGCTTCTGTAGGGTCTGAGGGCCAGGAGTGTTTGCCTTGTGTCCATGATCTTTGCAGCATCAGTTTAAAGATGCCAATCAACCATTTATGGCTGCAGCTGTCCAAGCTGCCTTGTAAATCAAGACAGAGAGGCAGGCAGTGACACAAAACGGGTTTCCTTTGTATTTTGTAACAGCCTCTCCTAAATGCAAACACTTTCCCAGTTCTCATCCCTGGGCACTGAAATAAAAATACAGAAGGCACAGGTGGCTTTGGGCACTGTTCCACAAATCCCTGGAATTTGTTTGCTTTTGGGTGTGTGGAATACTGAAAAAAAAATACTAACTTTTGCATTTACTGTAAATAGTGGGCAATGGCACAGGGGTACAAAAGGGGCTGTTCTGTGTGTGAGAAAGATGCAGGTGAACACTGGGTGGGATTTTTTTGTTGTTCATTGTTTCCCAGAGATGGATTTGGCCTGAAGGGAGCTCAGGTTTCCTGGCCAGGGTGGGTTTTGGCAGGTAGCCCAGCTCTGGGTGTGGAATGTGTCCCGCTGCCTGCACGTCTTGCTCAGGCAAAGCTCCCAAGGGTTTCTGCTTGGTAGGGATGCCCAGGAACAGCCTTAAGTAAGTCACCAAACTGACAGCAAATTCAAATGTCTCACTGAATCTAAAGCTGTTTCTCAGGAGCTGTTTACTGTAGCTCCAGCTTTTATTTTTTAATACACTTTTTTTACAGAAAAAAAAAGAGGACAATTTAAGGCACCTTGTGCTGGACCTTCTGCTCCTGAACAGCAGAGATGCTGCTGAGGTTAGAGCTGCCCTGCAGGCAGTCTAGGAAACTCAAAATCTTGTTTCTGGTGATGACATCAGAGTGACTGAAGGGGTGTTTAGTCATGTCTGAAGTACTGTGGGGTGCTGGGTAGCTACAGGTGTCAGTGTATAACCAATTTTTAAAGATTCAGTAGGAATTCAAGGTTATAACTCACTTTTGTGTTTTCTTTTGTGCCTGTACAACAGATGGGTACTGTGTATTTTAAAGGTTCATTTTTCAGCAAGCATTAAAAGGAGAAGATACAGTTAATTTAAGGAACCTCAACTAGATAATGCTCTTACTAGTTTTATTAATTCAGTGTTTGCCTCAAGTCTTCAATTTTTGACGTGTGCTTCTGAAACTTGTTCTTTAATACAACGCTCCAAAGTTGAAATACTACTCAAGTTTTAAGTTTCAGTCCCTGTTCTGGAAGGCAAAAAGCAGAACTATGAGAGAAGCTGCTGGTTTGTATCATGGTGGGATATGCATAGATTTTTTTTTTTTCTTCATGTTTTCTTATTAAAAGAACCAAACCAGAACCCTCGAGCTGATGATGCACCAACTATTTTGTATTACTTACTCTGTTCCTTCAATTACTGGCTTTTTTTTCATGTCTGTGTAAGAAATAAAGCATCTTGCAGGTGAATCACCTGTGTGTGAGCACATCATCTTCAACCTTGTAAGAGACAAGTGTAAACCACTCTAAAATGAAGGTTCAAAAGAGAACAAAAAAGAATGTTAGATTTGTTTACTCACGTGTTAATCCTCTTGTTTGAGCTTGGTCATAAAATGCTGTATTTGGATAGTGAGTCAAGGAGTGAACTGTCTCCATTTTCATATCACTCCAACCTCCTCTTTTTACCTTTATTTTGTACATCTTCTTCCTTGTCAAAATGAGGCTCTTTTAATAAATAAAAAGAGGGATTTTCTATGATCCAATGAACCAAAACTGCGTCACAGTCCCTGTTGCTTTGAGGGCCCTGTACTAAAGCCTTTAAACGAGTCAGGGATAGAAGCTGGGTTTGCATATTACTTTATTTTTTTATTATTTTCTTTGAGCCAGTTCAGAAAATAGAAGTATTCCTGCCCCAATGTGTAACTCCCACAGTTCAAACTCTCCACAGGCATTTTGATTTTCCCCTTCCCTCTTCAGTGCTTCAAAGGCATGCAAAATATCCAACCAGTTTTCACAGATCCAGCGTTCCTGCAGAACTGAAGAGCCCAACTGGCACTAACATACCAATTTAACACAAAACTAAATCTTCTCTGCAGGTTTTTTTACAAACCAATCCATCCTGCTGCAGCACTGATTATGCTGTTAGTTTAAAAAGGGAAAAAAAAAAAGAACAGCCACCCCTGGTGAATCCTGCAGGTTCTCCCTGCACATCTCCCCATAGCTCTGCAGGTTCTCCATGGAACACACACCAGAACTGTCCCCTCTGTCCCCCCAAACCCAGCTACACACACAAAATACAATGACACCAGCTCTCTAAAAACAACTATCTCAATGAGTTATTCCAGGACTGAATGGACTCCACTCTCCATCCCCAGCTCTGTTTGTGACTCATCAAAAATTCCACCCTTCTCTGGTTTTATTTCAGCTCCCCTTTCAGCTCCCTGCCTATGCCACGGAATGCAGCAAAGACTTGTGGCACTGATGCCTCAGCCTCTTCGGGCTCTTTTTTAATGGCTGTGCAAGTAACACCCTCTGTTTCTCAGCCCTTGCAGCTGCCCCCATCTTAAAATTCAAATAGGAGAAAGATGAATGAGCTTCTGAAATTACTTTTATTCTGTTAAATAAAGTGACTGGCATTATAAGAAAACTACAGGCAGAGGAGTTTTGAACTGACCAAACTATCCAGACAGCTCTGAACAAAGTGAGTTTACCTGTTTGAAAATGGATCAGGTCCTTCTTCACTGGTTAAGAGGAGCTGAAAGAAAGTAATTACAACTGTACAGTTCAAGAGCCTCAGTCCACTAAAAGCTGAGGGAAATGAAATGATACATCAAGTCCATAAATGCAGTCAGCTCCTGAAAGCAAATTCCAAGTGAATTCTTGCCTCCTCCAGATTTTTGCTCTCTGCTTGAGTGGTCAGGAGCTGCCTCTGAAAAGCAAAATCTCCCATCCACCTCAGGCCTGGGTTTTGTCCCCGTTGCTTGGGTTTTTCCAAGTTTTCCTCAACACCAGCCCGCGCCTTTTGCCACACCTTGCCCTGCCACAGCCACTCGTGAGAAAACACTTTGCAGCTGGCCCAGCCCTGCTTTCCGGTCCCAGCTCCAAGGCCCTCCAGAGCTTGGCACCAATTAGGGGGCAGGTAATTAATAAGTTTCTCACAGAGCCAATTTCTAGAGCTGGAAGGGGCTTTTCCTCTTAGTTGGGAACCATCTGCTCCTCCTGCCCGGCATTTTTGAGCCCTGGCATCGTCCTTCACACTCAGTGCTAAACTCTGGCCAGCACCAGAACATTTTCTTTAGTACAGACTCACCCTCCTAGTACAGAAAAAAATCTGCCACACAGCAAACAAAGGCGTGAGTCAAATCTACCAGGACCTCCCCAAGGATCTGGCTGATAAACCTCTCCCCAGCCCCAGCCAAGGCTCGGATGTCTGGCGAACAAAATGTTCTGGAAAAACGACGTGCCTTCTATAAACACTTTTTTTTTTTTTTTTTTCTGGCAGGCCCGTCTTGTTGTTTTAAAACCCGGAGAGGCTGACTCAGCCTGGCTTCTGCAGGAGCTCGGGGAACGCGATGGGTCCAGGGGAAGGTGGGGAAGGAGGTGGGGGGGAATGGTGTGTGAGAAGAGAAGAGGACAAGGCAAAGTTGAGCCTCACACAGCCCCTGCTGCTCACACAAAGTTTATGTAGACGTTTTCCATCTCCCTGAGCCCTCCATTCATGCCCAGGCAGTTGTACAGCATGTCCTTGGTGGCCAGGGCGCTGTCGGTGCCGGTGACAAACTGCAGCAGAGCCCTCCTGCCCGACAGGCGCCACTTCTGCCCCTCCCTGGCGAGGCTGTCCAGCAGGACTCCTCGGATGTCCTTGGGCTTCCCTGGCACTCCAAACACCACGAACAAGCCCAGGCAGTCCCGCCCCACCAGGCGGCAGAACTCGGCCAGCTTCCCGAAGCGGCTCATGTTTTGGAAGCACTCGTCTGCCAGCGCGGCCTCCCGGCACCAATCCTCGTCCTCATCCTCCTCATCCCCGTCCTTGTGAAAGAGCTCTGCCAGCTGCAGAGCCTGCACGGCGATCTGCAGCTTGATCTGCTTGTCAGCCCCAGACAGAGTCCAGATCCAGTCCACCCCGAAGAGGCAGGACTGCTGCCTGGTCATCTTGCTGGTGACGATGAGCTCCTCCGCTCCCTTCTCCACGCAGAAGCTGATGAAGTTCACCAGAAAGATCTCGCTCAGGGTGTTTGTGGCCGGCTGGAATTTGCTCTGAGGATCCACAAAACCAAGATAGTCCTTCAGCCTCTGAGAAGCGTGGAGCATGCCCTGGCTGAACACTTCACAGATGAGCAGAGTGTCAGCCTTGGTCTCCTGGTTGTCCTCCTGGGAGACCTTCTGGCCCATTGTCTGTGCCGGAGGAGGTCGTTTCCACATGCAGACAGCCTTGGGGAGGTCTGTTCCTTTTCCAACAGAGGCTCTGTGGGTGCTGTGCTCAGCCAGACCTGTTAATCATGCCCAGGGGTACCTGCTGCTTTCCAGGTGCCGGTGGTGGCAGCGGCAGAGCTGAGCTCCAGGAGCCTACAGGGCTTTCTCCTGGGTGTGTTTCTCCACAGCTGACTGAGCACCAACCAGCCCAACAGGCCCAGTAACTTTCACACCTACTGAATTCACCTGTGCTTGTTTTCCTTGTCGTTAATCCCAGCACCATTCCTTCAGCTGATGTTATCTCCCTCCAGTCTGATCTTATCTCCTTTGATCTCCTTTCTAGGACTATTACAGAGAAGCCATTTTATTGGCACCACTGGGTGTTTCCTGGACATGAAACAACCTTTTTCTTTTAAGCACTCAGAGAAGGGGATGCATCCAAACCTGAAGACTCCTACAGGGTGCCTGAAATGCTGTGATCTTTTTTGATGGGATGGTGCCTGTATCCCAGGATTACCTGCTGCTCCTGTCAGTGGTCCCATGGCAATGTACACAGACTCAGCTGGACTTTTAGGCCCAACTGAGAAGCTCCTGCTGTTGCTGCCTGTAACTGGATTATCTCAAGGAAGCTCAGACAGTCAATGCACACCCACGCACGACTATCAAATACAAATAAAAAGCTCTTGCTGCAAATGAAAACCCCCAAGTGCTGAGGTGAGGCATAAAATCTGCACCGAACAGTCATAACAACAAAGCAGTGTAAGGTATAAAAAAAACATTCATGTAGGGCAAGTGCAACTTCTAAAGCCAGGATGCAGCAATACCTGGTGGATGGGAATCAGAAGAGTTGTTCTGGATTAGTTCTCCATTCCTAAGTGTATATGTACTTTAAGCAAACAGAAAAAAAGCTGGGTTTAATCTCCATAGGCTCTTAACTGAAAAATACCTGTATTTCCCTCTACACTGCAAACAGACAGACAGAAGCTTATTATACTCTAAGTTTCAAAGTGTTTATCCTCAGCATTCCCACTGAAACAGCGAGCTTACAAACACAACCAGGGTAGTGAAGGTCACCAGACCAGGGGTCTGCATTTTCTGACCCATTATCCAAGTGACCATCACTTGTACCTGCACCACAGCAACAAAATGGAGTTTGGAGAAGCTCAGCTCCTGCTGGCCAAGCAGCTCCTGGCTGCTGAGGGATGAGGGGAACAACACGTGGAAGCAGAGAGACAGTCGCTCTTTTTACAGCAAGAAGGACCAGAGCACCTGCAAGGACACCGAGCAATGGTGAAGCCCTTTCTCATCACACCACACCAAACAACCCAAGATGGTTCAAATCTGGATCCCAGAAATAACTAAAACACCTTGGGATAGTTGATTTCTTAGCTGTTAGCTGAGCCCTTCTACAGTCACTGCTGACAAACGAACTAATGAGTCAACAAAAAATGTGCGATTTCCCCCCTATTCCCTCCTTTGGCTTTTAAATAGAACACAACAAGCTTCCTAGGAAAATCTGAAGAGGGAAAGGGAACCAGCTTCCAGAAACACTTGGCATTTTCCACAGACTTTATTGGATTCACATGGCAATACACAGCAGTTACGTTGCCCTCTTCAAACACGCACAGATGAAAACACCCCAAAGGTATCGACAGCACGCACACAAAAACCTCCTGACTTTATCCCCTGCTCCTGTGTTCCCACCCCATAAAACAACCCAGGTTCAGGTGACAGGCAGCCCCAAGGGAATGACCTGGCTGACAGCTGGCAAGTGCAGGAAAGGGTTGCTCAGAGCAGAATTCTGCTTAAACTGGACTTAAATAAACCCTCCCTGCTGTCACTGATAACACTGGACTGGAGAGACACTGCAGAGTGTATTTGTGCCTATTTCCACACACAGGATTGTGTCACTAACCCCTCCTTTTTCCCCCCCAATGGATATCCAGTCCTGTTCACCAGCCAGCCACCTGGAGGAATTTTGCCAGAAAGCCTGCACCACGTTCTCCCCGTGCTTCCACAGGGTTTTATGTTCAAATTCCCTGTAAATAATAACAACTTTGCAGAGCATTCACGGGAAGTGAGGCCTGAATCCACATCCCAAGCTTCTGCATGTTACACAGTGTGGTATTTCTGCCCAAATAAAAGAGCTCAAACACCCCCAAGACTGCAGAGGAAGAAATGTCAGCACAGGAATCAGTCAGGAATGTTGACTAAAGCATCGGTTATGATCTGTTTGCAGATAAATGGTAAGCAGCAAAAAGTATTTTATGTAGACTTTATGGATTGTTTGCCTGGCTCCAGCTGCTGAAGAGACAGTGGCAGTGTATATCATGTACAACACAACCTGTCCACATCAGATTTTTCATCTTGGTACATCAATAATCAACATTTTTCACCTCCCCTGCACATCCTGCAAAGATCCAAGTCATCAGGTCACAAGAATACAATGCCAGAATATGTCTCTGATCTACCCCAGCATCTGATGGGAGTTCCCTGGAAGCCCCAGAAAGAGGCTAATGGTGTTTTAGAAACACCCTCACAGGCCAGCACAAACCTACAATCCCTGGCTCCACACCAGGAGCGGCCTCGCTTCCAGCGAGGAGAGCGACGGAACGCGCGCCAAAGGCTTGGGAAAGCAACACACCACTGCAAGGAACGGGGTCTGGGGGTTCTTTTTGCCTTTACAAAGCAAAGCAGCTTCATGCCATGGTGCTACAACACATGCAACGTTCAACACCGTACAAACAACCACTGGATAAAACATTACTCGGATTTTTGTTTGTTTGTTTGCTCGCGATACCCAGAGCCTGACGCGAGATCTCCACCGGCTGCGTGGGAATTTTAAATCCTGACTGTCCCCAAAAGCAGAGGAGCTGTGCTTTAATGATGAGCAACATGTTTGAATTTTGGAGGAGAAGTCCCACCTTAGGTTTAATAATATGAAATAATATATTTTCCTATACATTTCTTTATATAACTTTCTTTTTGCAACTACACCATCTTCACGTTAGTCACAGCACAGAAACATCCCTTCCATATGCAGGGAGTACTCTCAACTTACAGGGAATTCTTTAAGTCACAGAAGAGTTAACAACCTTGCTGAATGCTCCAACTACTGCTGCTGGGACCAGGAGAGAAGACATTTTAAAATGTGCAGTTTCCACACGGGTCACTGCTAGAAAAAACATGCTTTAGAATTGTTTCATCCCAAATGGAAGATCATTAAACTGTGCACTTAGTAAAAAACAACAAAAGCAAACAGTTCCAAAGGTCAGCCTGCCTTTTCCAGTAACCAGCTGGTCTGCAAACTGGCATCATTTTTTTTACAACCTTCTCCTTCCCTTTCCCCACACACCTTCAACTTTCCATCACTCTGCCTCACAACAAAATTTAAATTTTTGCTTTTATATGTACTTCATATACTTCTTTTTTTCTTTTTTTTTTTTTTTTTATAAAACAGTATAAAAATAAGAGCAACAGTCAAGAGCTACCAGGGAGCTTAAGCAGGGCACAGATGACTAAAATCCTACATTGGATACTGCAGGAAGGGCAAAACTGGCATCTGTGCCAAACAAAAGCACTTGAAAAGGAGCAGTAACTTCTATTTTTCAGCTGAGAGCCTAGAGAAAGCTGATGCACGATATCTACAGACTCAACACTTTCACCTAACACCTTCTGTTACTTTCCAACAGTATAAAGGATTATCTGAGGCCATGAATAAGCAAAAAAAGAGCACTATCATACCACAAATGCAACACTCTGAAACATATCACCAGTTTGTACATTAAATAGAGTTAAAATGATTACCATTCACCAGTGTCTGGGTGGTTTCTATGGCAACTTTAGAGTAGGCACCTTTTTTTTATCTTTAAATCTCCTTTTTCTTTAAAATTCTCCACCCCCCCAACGTTCCTTCGAACAAACAGAAGCAAGAGCAATTGTAATGTACATGATCTGCTGCCCATCACATCAAATGATGATGCTCCTGCACACAGGAAAGTGAGCCCCTGCCAGTGCCTGCTGGTTACCATCAAACATTGGAGTCCTCATCTGTTATACTGGTGCTGGGAGAGCGGGTGGCAAAGTCTTTAAACATCTCATCTTCTTTCAACATGTGCTGCAAAGGAAATGAGGGACAGTCAGGGCTGACCCAACTGGGGACTGCCAAGGGTTTAGACCCATCTTAGAGAAACAGAGAACTTACTCCACAGACCCCCAGACCCCACTTTTAAGCCTTACTGTCAAGTTGTTGATGCCTTCAGAAAACGCTCCTATTTGCCTCACTGTCCCTTCTGAATCTTCCATCTACAGAGAACAGAGAATGAACAATGAACCAGTAATAACTTCATTGTGTCACAGAGTCACAGAATGGTTTGCATTGGGAGGGACCTTAAAGACCATCTCATTCCAACCCCCTGCCATGGGCAGCAACACCTTCCACCAGCCCAGGTTGCTCAGAGCCCCATCCAACCTGGCCTTGGACACTGCCAGGGATGGGGCAGCCACAGCTTCTCTGGGCAACCTGTGCCAGGGCCTGCCCACCCTCCCAGGGAAGGATTTCTCCCTGATATCCAACCTAAACCTGCTCTCTGTCAGTTTGAAGCCATTCCCCATGTCCTGCTGTGACAGAGACTCCAAGCTGCCAGCACTGGCTCACCTGCTCCAGCCTGTCCAAATCATCATCGTCGTACACTCGGATATCCAGGCCAGGCTTAAAGCCCTTCCTTGAGCCGCTCCCCGACGCCCGCCCCAGCTCCATGGGACACACATACTCTTCCCCATCATCTTGCTTCTTCTTCCTCAGGCTCCCAAAGTTGCTGAAGGTAAGTTTCTTTGGCTTAAAAGTGAAGAGAAATTTGACAAGAAGTTAGAGAATCAGCTAATAATTAACAGAGCTCCTACTCTTGCACTGATGTCTCAACAGTGAAGGGCCAAAACCCCACTTGTCTCCTAAACAGATCACCCCACTTGTCTCCTAAACAGATCTTCTGAACAGCTGTTAATCCATGACAGAAAGGACAGTGTGTGTCCTCTCATTGTACCACCATTAAGAAAACACCATTTAAAGGATCTAAAATGAGGTCAAAATTCCACTACACTAGACCATGAGCCTATAAACAATAGGAGTCAATCTCCCTCCCAAACATCTTACAGGACAGACAGAAGGACAACACGAGTGCTACCTCTCATCTGTGCACAGGAGAGGCTGAACTGTGGTGCAGACACAAGTGTCAAACCCAAATGTGGCAAGTCCTGCCCTCACCTTTCTTTCCTTGGGAACCAGCCCCTTTTGTCAGACGTTCCCCAAGTGCCCTCCAAACCCAGCACACCGGAGAGCCTGGAACCTCACCCACGGCCCAGAACAAGTGACCAACCTTGACTTTGGCAGTTGCTGTCAAGAGGACATAGTCTGGGGCCTCCATGGCCTCTCGTTTCTGCTGCTGGGCCTCCTGCCCGATGAGGAGGTTGAAATGAGTCGCCAAGTGCCGCCTCAGCAGCGTCTTGTTCGGGGGGATGTTCAGCAGCTGTGCCATGGTTTCCACATTGAAACGAGGCTCCAAAACCTGTGGATCAAACCACAGAATCCAGCTGAAGCCAGCAACTGTCTGATGAAATCTCAAGGACATCAACTTGGTCACTCCCCGCTCTGGGAGTTTTTGTTTGTATTTTAAAGGAAGGGTACAACAAAGAGGGAGAAAAGAGAGTTAACTAGTGAAAGGATTCCCAAAGTGCTACCTCCAGGCTTTCCTTCACAAATACAAACAAAGTAGAAGAAAGGAACAGAGAAATTCACCCTTAACTGAAGTAATGTGTGAAGCTGCCACAGAATGTTTGCCTGCCATCCTCTTTAACCCTGGAAAAGGTAGCCAGAGGAACCATGGAAAACAGACAGACAAAATGTTTGGAGTAGGGATATAACTCTGAATCATCACAACAAAATTCTGCAAGTATAAGTCTGGAGTCTGTGATGGTAATTAAAAACAATCCTGGTTTGACACTGAAATCTCAAATTTTACAGAATTAACAAGCTTCCATCCGAAAAGAAAATCATACCCAGGTCTGGGAAGGCACACAGTGGCTGTTTACCACCAGTGTGCAGGATCAGAGGACAGGAGGTGGAGAATGCCATACCAGAATTAAATTATGAGTGGAATACAGATTACCAAACCGCACTAATTCTGCCGGAGACATTCACATCCTTTAAACCACAGAGTAAGAAATGCCAATTGCTGTTTATGAAGTAGAACAAGAAGATGAGACGTGTGCAGCGAACATGGCATCAGAACTTTGGTTTTAGTGATTCTCAGCCACGTATTTTTTTGAAATAACAAGGAAGAAGCCACCCCAGACACTTACCATGAGTCCCCCGTGCACACCACTGCCCCGCAGGTTGGGTGCATACTCTGCCAGATCCACGGAGCGCAGCCACTCCATCACACGGTGGTTGGTCCACTGGGTCACCTCGGAGGGGCTGACGTTGCTCTGGGAACAGGAGGAAGGGGCAGGTAAGGAGAGACATCCCAACTCAGCTGTCCCAGCCCAAATCTCTACTGAAACGTGCCCTTCAGGAATGCAATCCCACTTTGCACTGCCAGGAAAAAAAATAAAATCTCTTTTTGGATTGCCACCTTGCAGCAGTACCACAGTGGGGATGGGGATGTTTTAAGCTTCAGCAATGCTACCTCCACGAGCTGTTCCACGAGCTGCTGTGCTGTTCTGGCAGATACACACTATGCATCTAAATCCAACAGTCTGGGCTGTTTCATCATCCATTGCCCTATCCAGTATTTTGCTGCTTCCAAAACAGTCTGGTAGCAGTCTCTCCATCTGCTAACAGGGTCAAGCTCCTCTTACACAGAAAATTTTGACACTGCCATCAGTTTTCCAAGGAGTTACACAAGACTTATGGCTGTAAGTGCACTGAGCTCCAGATGATTTATGTTCCAGACAGCCCATCAGACACTGGGCCAGAACAGCCCAGCTGTTGGCTTGGGAGAGAAGAGGGAGACTTGGCAAGGGGGACCTGAGTCTGGGGTCAGGGCAGGTGGAGGAAAGAAAGTGATGTCAGAGCATGAGGCTGGAAAGGCAACATGAGAAAAAGGCGACTGAAAATGAAAAAGATTGAAATAGGAAGGAGGAGACAAGGAGGAGAAAGCAGAGCAGGAACAACCAGAAACACCAGGGATAAAATCCTAAAGGATTCCCCTGCGCAGTTTCAGGGCAAAGCAGCACCTCATCCGATGGCCTCCTGCGCAGGCAGTTGGGCTCAAAGTTGTTTATTCTCAACACCTGGATGGCTCTTTTGATGCTGAGGTGGTGGAGGACACTGACAACCTTCAAGGACAGCAGGTCATCCTGTTGAAGAGGAAGGGGGAGTTAATAAACATAAATGTGCTTATTCATGGAACCAGCATCCGACTGGAGGAGACTGGCTGAAAATGGCACATCTGGTACAGCAGGGGTAACATTTTATTGTGTGAGACAGGTGATCAGCAGCAAACCATCTGTCCCAAAACAAAAGCTCCCCGAGTTGCACTGTATGAGCTCCTGGGTGGTGCTCTTCACACAGGGCACAGGGACACCTGGGGCAACAAGGAGGGGACAGGGGGAGATGACACATCCTCAGGGACTGGATTAGAGCCAGGACAGCTTTCCAGTCACTGTTATTAATTTGGAGGCAAGGTAACTGAAAGTATTAGTTTCCTGCTTTGCATATTTAGGTGGCTGTTTACAGTGAATGTGTTGTCATAATTTGATGGTTAAACTCTGTCTAAAAATATCCCCAATTAAAGGGCAGTGACAGGAAGAATATCCATTTAAAACACAAGGCTCCTGCTACATATCCCTGCTCTGTCCACCTATTACTTTTCCTCCCTTTTCAGTACAAAAAAGACTGTTGAATAATACAAATTCCCTTACATTATGCAGCCCATGCTGTATCTTATCTGCAATCCTCACCCATTTAACACTGGCAGTGAAGTCTTCCAACACAAGACCAAGCTCAGTGGAGCCTGTTGGCATCACACTGCCAAGAGTTAAGAAGTAGAAGAAACAGCCTGCCTCCTACTTTTATGTTAATGTCTGAACTCAAAAAGCTAAAGGGAATAAACACCAAACCCCACCATTAAAGCAGTGAGAAATTTAACATTTGACTGAGATGGTCTGAGTGGGGAGCTGAATCTGACTTTGAAATGCAAAAGCTATTGAGTGTAGCCTGTTTTCAAACAAGTTGGCTCTTCAAACTGCAATTTCCTTCAAAGGAAGGACCTTTTGCTTGGTTTTCTTCACCTAAGCATCCACTTGAATAAGTACGCGGATCAAATGCTTGCTCACTGAAGAAAAAAATTCCACCTACTTCTATTAATTAACAATACGAACAGTAACCACAGCATCTGCACACTTTTGTGTGCAAACCCTGCCTGAGCACAACTGTTAAGAGCAATATTGCCCATTTCTCACAGATAAGTCTGAGTTTTTGCTCAGAAAGTTTGCTCTTGCACCTGAAGATCGTGTGAAGATAGTATCTCTAAACTGGAAAGAATACAGGAGATACTTGCAGATGAGCAGTAGTATCTATTAGCTTAACACAGGACTCCCACTGCAGTTTCAGGGGATCCTTTAAACACTGCAGTGAAGCATATGGACAAATAGGGAATTCTGGAATGTCCTCTGACACACTGACCTCCCTCAGCCTCCTCCCAACCATCACCCAGAAAGCTGGAAGCCCCAATTAATGCACCATTCACCTGCTCTTCAGTGGGGACAGACTGAGAACATGGTGAGGATGTCAGGGGAAAAAAAGCAGCCATTTACTCACCACAGTCATGTAATGGAGCATTCTGCCATCCACCTTGCCCTCGTCGAACTGGGTCTTGTACTGGGGCAGGCCGATGTCATCGAGCCACCCTGGGGCACAGACACACTCTGTCAGAGTGGGAGCCGAGTCACCTGCACCACTCAGGTGTCCTCCCCTTCTGAGCCCCCAGTTAGCCACGACTAGGAACCCCATCTGAAGATCCTGCTTCAGCACGGAGTAAAACCTTACTGGTAACCCAGTGGTAATCCAGTTTGCCGTGGTTGTTCTCCTCTTCGGATCCCAGTGCCTGCAGAGCAAGCTGGAGCTTCTTCCGATGCAGCGGGTGCTTTATCCCCAGCTCCTGTGAAGGGAAGGAAAGCAGCAAATCCAGAGACAGTGCTGTGCTATTTCTCCTTCTGCCGAATTCCAGAGGGTTCCAGAGAGCCACACTGTACACGGCACTTGCTGGGGACCTGGCAGGTGTGTTTTCTACGTGCTGAATATCAGCATCATTTTAGCACGTGTTCAGCACCAGGGAAAGGCCTGGTGGTGTGCTGGGTTAATTAATCATAGATCAATTTCAGGAAGCGATGGATTCCAAACTGTATGAAAATGTCAGGCACAACATTCAGATACAAGGTTAAGAAAAATCCCACAATATAACCACGTTAGCATTCAGAAAAATACCTGCTGGGATTACTTCCTCCCTTCCCATTTGGGCAGGTAAGGTTAAAGGAATTATTTACTTAAGAGCACATGAAGGTCCCAGGCCCTACTGAAATTCATTAATGCCTCCAAAGGCATAACACCCTTCCCAGTTCAGCTGCAAGTGCAAACATTCCAGGATCCCTTTAGTCCCTACACACTTTCCCCAGTGCTTGCTGGTTAATGTTTCCTCTGACACGCTATCACATATCACACTTTTCTTATTCCATTTGTAGTGTAACTACCCAACTGAGTAAACAGCCTTACTATTTGGTGAGGGGAGTGATTTTTTAAGAGCTGAAAATCCAAACTGCAGTGAATACGGTGGATTAAAAGTATAAAATGAATCAACTTTTTTCTGTGTTTCTCGTTTTAGAAAAAAAAAAGAATTCTGTAACAATCAGAGACATCACCTGATCAGCCTGTAATAAATCCTCATTCTCTTTGTATAAAATGGGCAGAAATTCAAATCAGACCAAAATATAAACTTTTTACACCCTTTTAAAACAACTGTACCATGAATCAGGGCTACAAACCCATATGATAATGAGGCACCCTCACATGCCTATTTTTAGAAAGTGGCATAGTCAATTGATACATGCATGCTTCATGAAGCTAAATCACATATTTGTAATTATTAGCTTCACTCCAGAGCATTAAATTTCTACAAAACTTCAGCTAAAAAGAAATGGATTTGGCATCACTGCAGGTGACAGTATTTTGAGAACTCACCTTGTTTACATTTTTTACCAGGTACACCTGATTTACACGCAGAGAAGCAGCAATTTTTTTGTACCTTTATGTGAAAGGATTGCTTCCAGTATTCCTCACCTTTTCCAGATCCTGCTGAGAAGCCTGCAGGAGTGTCTGCCCAGACAGTATCCACTGCCTGCCATTATTTATGTAGGAGCCAAGCCCTTGGTCCTGGAGCCAGTTGCAAACCTGCTCCTTCGTCCACTTTGCGAACGGCATGTCCAGCTCACTGGGGGAGATTCAGCAAAAAAAACACTGATAAATCCTGCACCTCAGATCTCCAAAAAAGCCAAAGTCTAAGCCTAATTCCTATTTTGTGGGAGCTGGGACAATCTCTGGTGGGGAACATGCATCGTGGTGGGCTTGTGAGGAAGAACATGTGTCTCCTTCGGAATCATCAGCACCACTGCTGCTATCTGCTGCTACTGTCATACCCAAACCAACCATCTCTGCTGCCTAGTGTGGCTAAAACCCCAAAGAGAGACCCTAATGCTTCACTTTAGCCTTTAATCCCTGGAACTGCAGCAGGAAAGGTACTGGAGGAGTATCTGTCACTGCTACCTGAAGGCTCACATCCTGCTTCAGTGCAAACAGACAAATAATTCTGTAACAATTAAAGGCAAAGGGGCTGATCAACCTGTGTGCAGCAGATGCTCCTTCTTCTTTGTGTAAAATGGAAAATGCAATCAGAACAAAACAGCTGCCCTCCTGCAGCTCAGCAACACGACCCTGCCACCCACCCAACCTCAACCCCGCAAAGACCATCTCTCCAAGGAGAGGGAACGGTTCATTTTGGCACTGAGCTTCTCCTTGGGGCCAGGAAGTCGAGCCCCACTTGGCACCACTTGTCTTACTTGTGGGACTGCCCTAGGTCTCGGGACCAGCCCAGCCGTGGCCCCGCCGTCGCTCTCGTCCCTCCTCGCTTGAACTCGGTCTCGGACATGTCGTCGGGGTTGAAGGTGGTGGACTGACTCCTCCTGAGCCTGGTTTAAAGGAGGAAAGCACGTTCACATTGGGCTGAGGACAAGGCAACTGCAATCAAAGTAGGTAAGGCCTCCTACAGGGCTTGTAGCTCTCCTTCCAACCTGCCCCTGACCTGCAGTTACTTCTCCCAAACGCCACGCAGGCTCCTGCTCTCGGGACAGCAAACCATGCTGAAGGGAAGGAGTGTTCCCAGCAAACCCCAGCTCTGGAGAATGGACATCTCTCATATTTTACTTACTTTCCAAATAACTTCTTGATCCCCCTGGCCTTTTTCCTGGAATCTGGAGAAGGTGGTGTCATCTGTAGACCATCTGCTTCCTTTGGGCGGGGGGGCAAGCCAGCCAGATCCAAGTGATCTGCAGATCCCTTCTCCGTCTCAGCTGTTGGAAAACAACATCTCTGTCAAGACCCACTTGTGCAGGACTGTGCAGATACACTCCTGAACTTGGGAATGACTCCTGCTAAAATTATTGAGAGCCACCATGTTAAGAAAATGGGGCAAAGAGGGATGGGAAAATCCAGAAGAAACAACATGTTCCTCCTTCATGGGCCTGGTTGGTAACATTCCAGGGCAATGCCCTGCACCAGGTGGGCAAAAACCACCTCCCTAATCAACCAGCCAGTTAAATCCCAAGTTTACTCTTCCTCAGGGAATTTTCTTACAGTCCTTTCACAGGCACATGGATGCCCAGAAACAATTCAGTGCCATGACAGGGAACCAAACCAGGATTCTCCATAGCACAGAAAACCAAATCATTTCCCTGCAGACATCTTTCCCAATAACCTGCAGCATTTCATTCCCATGGCTAAGAAATTCCAGCAATAAAACTCCTGCTCTGGGAGAAAAGGCCCCTTTTACCCTCATTCTGCAAACCGTGGACTAATTTGTTCCTCTGCAGAGGAACACCAGGGAGTTTAGGCTCTGTCTGAACCAGATCTTCTGAGTGGTACACAAAGGATCAGAGACTCTACATGATATCACCCACTATAAAACCATTCAATCTTTGACCTGTAGCTGCTTTCTACGACAACAAACCTGAGGGCTCCTGTCCCCCAAAGGGGAAGTGGTCACAAAAGCTAAACTTAACAGAGAAAAAAAAAACAATTTTAAGAGCATTTAAAAAGAAAACTAAGAGAATTGCAATATCTACTAGGCTACATAAGCAGAGGTGTGCCAGCAAGTGCCAGACAGCTGAATAAAACTACCAGGAGGAGTTTATGGCAGTGACTTGCTGGGGAACAGTGACAGCATGAGCTTGTTCAGATGAAGCAGCCATGGCAAGGCAGTCTGCAGCAGGCTGACACTCGGGTCTTTAATCACTTCTACCATCTTTTAATGTGGTTGTGTAATTAAGTGACCATTAAATGACCATCACTGGTTTTTGAAATGGACTCTCAGACTTCCAGGAGGGAAGCAAACAGTGAATCAAGGCAGAGCATGTATTGCTGGGACACGTGCCCTCAAGTAAGGTCACAACATGCCATGACCAGCAAAAACATTCAGGCTCTGCCAGTGTGTCCTTCTGCTGGGCAAAGTTTGGACGAGTCAGCCAGAATACATTTGAACAAGTCCCATTTTCTACCGATGCTTCAGATGCCAAACCTTGCAGGGAAGCAACAAGGTCAGATAAAAGACCCTTTCCAGGCACTTTGGTTTGACCACTGTGGAACACAAAAGGATCCTGCCAGTGGGAGACAGCACTAACATGGAACCAGGCTGTGGCATTCGTGGTTTTTGCTCTACTTGTGTAAGATGGGGTGCTAGTTTAGGAAAAAAAACACATTTAAACAGCATTCTAGAGAGAGAATACCAGGACAAGGTGGGGTGCATTAGTAGCAGAGATTTGCGGGTATTGCAATGTTTGCTCCTCGTTCCTGGCTCCCTCTGATGCACTGACACTACCCCTTGGAACAGCTGACACTCGAGGGGCCACATGTGGGACACTGAGAGGGCTCAGATCACTCGGTCCCTTTGCCAGTGAGGGACACCCTGGGTGGCTGCACCACCAGCCTGACCAACACAGCTCTGCTGGCTGAGGTCCCACCACCCAGAACCACCCAGGGAAGGCTCACATCACAACACTGGTATTTATTTACTCTGTGAATGGCTCCTTCAATTATTTCTCACTTTTTATTATATAACAAATACAGCTACGTCTCAGAAGAGGAATCACTCGCCCTTCCCACTGGCACTCCCCTAAATGAACACCTGGGAAATATCACAGAATGACAGAATATGCTGAGCTGGAAGGGACCACAAGGATCACTGAGTCCAGCTCTTAGCCCTGCAAAGATCAGCCCCAAACAATCCTACCCTGTGCAGGAGGGTGATATCCAAACACTCCTGCAGCTCTGGCAGCCTTGATGCTGTGCCCACTGCCCTGGGGAGCCTGTTCAGTGCCCAACCACCCTCTGGGGGAAGAACCTTTCCCTGAGATCCCACCTGAGCCTGCCCTGCTTCAGGCCATTCCCACATTCCCTGCTTCTCCATTCTTTAAACTCTTCCAGTGGATCCAGGACAGATGGGAGCACCAAGGTGCCTCTGGTATTTAAACCCCCCAAATCTCAGCTGCTCCCTGGCTCTGGGTGTTACTCTGGGCTCAAAGTCACAGCAAATGAACCCGCAATCTCTCTCATTAGTAGCAGCCACTGAGAGATGGCACAGCTGACTTTTAGCAGAGGGCAGATGTTACGTGAAAACTCCTTCTAGCGATGGGCAGAAGTCTGGGTGCAGAGCTGTGGTGCCCAGGGGTGGTTGGAGGATGGTGTGGCCGTAACCAGCCGTCAGCAGCAGCCACAGCCCGGGGCTGGCAGAGGCAAGACATGCAGGATTACTGTACCTAAGGTGGGTGCACTTGCACTTCGACTGCGATCTTCAGAGATCCAAACAGGGACACACAACGGGAGGGAACACGCAGAGGGACAAGGGAAAACACAGTTCAGAACAAGTCAACAACATAGGAGACAAAGGGAGGGAGGTACATGAGACACAGGCACCACACGAATGCTGAATTCACACCCATCCACTGCTAATCCCCTCCACAGGAAGGACACGGAGTAGAGCTCTGCGCAGTCACTGCGGTGCAGGGCGTCACACTCAGGGCTGAGCGTGACTCCTGTGCAGTGGCAAATACCTGGACAGCAGCTGCTGGAAGCACTGAAACCTGGGTAACATGAATAACTTACTCAAATTCACAGGGCCCTGATTTATACGACCCGTCTTCCCATCCTTTACGGCAGCCACGAGCGCTCCGCTTTGTCAGACACGTTGATTCCAGGACAACAGCACACATCAACAAACCAAAGCAAAGAGCCTAACCCTCAGAACAGGCTGGGAGCTAGCAAGTTCCCAGGTTGTGTGTCAATGTATGATCGATGTGTGGGGGTGTTACTTGCTTTGAACAAACGTCTAAAGTTGTCTTGGGGTAAGGAAGAACAGGAGACCCTTCTGCTCAACAAAGCAGAAGTTATCCCCCTTCGTATGAAAGAGAGAGCTAAATCCCTAAACCTGGGGCAAGAGAGAAACTAAATCTTGAGGTGCCTGGCAGTAGGTCTGATGCAAAGACTCATGGATGCTCTCACTGCAGCAGTGGAAGGACTGCTACAGCAGAGCAGTAAATGTAAGCAGCGTTCCAGGTGATGACAACAACGACTTCTGCGCTAAGCAGAACATTTTGTTTATTTCTTTGTCATATGTAAATGTCACCAAATGACAACACCAAAACAACACCCCCTCCATTACAGCTGAAAAATCAACCTGAGCTTGAATGACTTGCCAGTCCTGTTCCTGTTGTCACCATCCCTTTTGCAAGGCTGCTTAAATGCAAAAAGAATAAAGGGGAAGACCAAGTGCTGCTGCTCCATTTCTGCACATCTGACATATCCTATGAAAGATGAACTGAGGATGGAGCTGGGGGGAGAAAAAAAGCCCACAAATCCCCTGTGTGTGAACTACTGCCAGACAGGCAGGTTTTCAAACCAGCAGCAACCCCCTGCAAGGTCCCAGGGGAGACATCACAGCAGAGGCTGAAGCAGATCAAACAATTCACCACATCAGTGCAGATGCACGACACCTACCCAGATTGGGGGCACTTGCAGTCCTCTTGTTGTTCTTGATCTTGAAAAAGCCTCGGCCGAAGGAGGACCTGGCCTTGCGGGTACCAAAACTGTCCTCGTCGGCCGTGCCACCGTGAGAGGGAGACTTGGGGGGCAGGGTTGCAAAACTGTGACCTTCCACAGGAGGTTTAACCTGCTTAAAATTAGGGAAATGAAGATTTAATGTAAGGGAATTGCAAAAGGCCTTTTGAGAGGGACAGTGCAGAAGACCTGGGAAGTCCCTCTGAGGTGTCACTATGAGGAAAAAATGTAAAACCCCCAAAGAAAAACATAAACAAGATCTTCATTTGAGTATGTTGTCCTGGTTTCAGCTGGGATAGGGCTCATTTTTCCCTAGTAGCTGTGTTTTGGACTGAGGATGAGAACAGTGTTGGTAACACGAGGATGTTTTGGTTGTTGCTGGGCAGGGGTTACCCTGGGCCAAGGGATTTTCAGTTTTCCAGGCTCTGCCAGTGAGGAAGTGCACAAGAAGCTGTGAGGGAGCATGGCCAAAGGGATATCCATGGCCAAGCTGACCCAAGGGACATTCCATGCCATGGAATAGCATGCCCAGTCTATAAACTGGGGGAGTTACTTGGATGGGAAGCCCATCACAACTCAGGAGATGAACAACAGCATTGTGCATCATTTCTCTTTTTTGGGGTTTCTCTCTCTCTTTCTCTCTATTACTGTTATTATTATACTATTTTACTTTGTTTCAATTATTATTATTATCTCAACCCATGAATTTTCCTTTTTTAACCATGACACATGTTCAGGGCCCAGGACTACTATCACTACCTGCTAAGAGTAACCTGTCTTCTTTGGGGTGTTCCTCACTTTCTGCAAGGTTGGCTCAAAGGTATGGAAAAGGTAAAAACACAGTCCTGGAAGGCTTTGAACTTTTCCAGCTCTCCAGGATTTCTGTCTCCCTCACTGGGAGCTGCAGGGGCAGTGGGAGGCAGAGAGGCAAGACCCCCGTGGTGTATCAGTTCTCTGCCAAGTGTCAGAGCTCTTCCTATCACTGCTCTGCAATTGCTCAGTTAATGGATGAATTGATGATGTCTCCTGCCAAAATTGAGAGGAAATGATGTATCAAGCATGGAGAATAAATGCCAGGAGAGATAGTAGACACCACAGGCAACCAATTTAGAGCAGTAGTTTAGCTTTGCTGGCTGTTTCAGTTGCTTTAAAAAGAAAAAAAGGAAGAAAATGCAGTCACAATCCAAATACAATCCTTTGGCTTTTGCTGAATCAATGCAGCATTCACCCCACAAGTGCTATCTGAGGTCTGTCATCTCTGCCCGGGTCTGTGGCCGTAAGGGGTAACTGTTCTGCAATGATAACCTTTGCAGAAACACAGTTTCCTACTCAGGGAAACAACTGGGAAATCCAAAGGGTTTTAAAGATACACTAATCAAAGGTAATTACAGAGTCAGTAAAATACTTAATGGTTAGCTTTGCTAATTATCCAGTGGTGGAGTATGTGGGGGAAACATTAGCTTGGAGGGCAACCTTAAGCTCAAGCAGACTGGAAGATAATCCATGTGTGAGGAGACAAGTGTGAGACATCAAGCACTGACACTGAGGTGATGATGACACCCAGCAGAGACTCCACACTATCCTATCTGCAGGATATTCCCCCTCTGGAATTGTGTGTGGCCATTTCACACCACGGAGCCTTTCAGCACCCACTCACTGCCCCTGTTCCTGCACGTACAGACACACACTCGTTACCTCTGCTGGCTTCTGGGCAGGCTCTCTGTCCTGTTTGGAAAAGATTAAAACAGACATTTAGAAAGCCATGGTTTACAGCCAGCATTCAATTCATTTTGAGGTAAATTGTGAACTGAAATACCCTTCCCTGCACGCTTTTTCCCCCCAAAGGAATCTCTTCAGAGCTGTATTTCACACAGATTAATCCTTGCTTCCTTTGAGGTCAGTGAGCTGACATGGGGGCTGCTTTGGTTTGCTTTGTGAAGGATTAGCTGTGCACATCATTAGGGACATGCAGAATTTAAGGCTGAGAGGACCCAAAGCAGGAATCAGGGTAGAAACATCCCCAGCCTCAACTCCTTGGCTGTCCAAGCAAAGAACCAAAAAAACCTCCAGCCCATAAACTCCAGCTCTCATCATAAAATCCTGGTTCCATTTTCAGTCCTGCCAACACCCCTCCCGTGCTGTCAGACACAGGAGGTGTCAGGGAATTCAGGATCTCCTCCAGCAGTTCAGGCTGTCACCAAAGAGCACACAAATCACCCTGATTCCATGGCATTGCTGGAGGTTTGCTGCTTTTGGTCCCTTCCAGAGAAAGCTAAACTGAAGCCATCACCAGACACACACTGGCTCAGTATTTTTGCTCCTGACACCTAAGACATACAGTCAGCCCAGACTGGATTTTATAATGCATCATTGGCGTGGCCTTCCCCAATTATTCAAGTAGGAAGGGGCAGTGGGATTTATTCTCTTCTGGGAGATGTCACACGAATGTGACCACTGCTAACACAGGGGGAGCCCTGCTCTGGCTCAGCATTTCCCAGAAGGTGGCAACAGAGCATCCACCCACGGGGTCACTGCCACAACAGAGGTGTCACTCCTATTCCCACGGGGATGGGATGAAGGAGGCGGCCAAACCTACCACTTCAGATGGCTCTTTCCTCAAACTGCTCAGGCTGCTGGACTTCTGCAGCGAGGAGGTTCTGGGACAACAAATAAAACCAGAGCTAAGGTATTGAAATTAAATTTGCTAAGACACAGCCAACTCCCAGGAACCAGCTCCAAAGAAAGCACTCTAATACATGCTGAGATCACTAAAACCAATGACTGCCTTGAAATAAGACAATCAGTGCAGTAACCAGAGCCCACAGAATTTAATTACACCATCATCACTGCTGCAGATGCTGCAGTGACACGATGCCCACCTTTGGATTTTGCTGGCTTCTTATTTAACATCATATTTTCAGAAGAACAAGCAGAACTTACACAGGCAGAGGAATTGATACAAACAAAAGCTACAAAACCCACTATTTTTAGCAACTGGCTTTTGACTAATTTAATCCCTAGAGAAGCCAAGTATGAGTGTTTTAGTATTTTAACTTCGATTCTGTTTTCCATTTCAGAGCAGATATCCCACAATTTCTGGTGGGATTTACAGTCTAGAATGCTCAAGTGTGGTTGAAAAGAAAGTTACCAATGAAGTTTTTCTCATAACCACATATAAATTCAGAGTAACAGTGAATTTTATAAAGTTACCTATATTTCTACCAACAGAGCAGAACTGGGCTTTTATTTTCTCATTCTAGTCCACTCATCACCTTTCCCCCACTATCAAAAGAAAAAAGCAAATCGTGTGTGCGTACTGTGGAAAACTACAAATTTCAGAGTATACTGACAGTCTACCACTGATGAAACAGAAAGTAACTGTGCACAGATAAATAACTGGAAAATAATGGCCATGAAAGTAGAAACCTGCCATCACTAAATCCCCCCTTTTTGCTGGAATTAGCTGATATGTTTGCATGGGTGTTTAAAATATGGGGGGGTGTTGGGGTTTTCAATTGACAATCATATATAAATATATGTCTCCTAAACAGTTCTGATGATGGTACTCACACTGGACTATCACACAGATGAGTTTCTGGGGAGGAACCTGCTGATCTTCCTTCACTGTAAAAACAAAGAGAAGACACAGAAAAAGTGAGGCATTTGGGGATTCCATCCAAATGTTTTGCTGGACAGAAATCCCATCAGCTCAGACTGCTTTTATTGTGCTTTCACTTCAGCTCTTATGCTACTAACACAGGGCAAATATCCCCCTCTGGGGTGGCAAGTCTTGTGAAAGATAAAGGACAAAGGTGAGTTCAAGATGAAGATGAGCTGCACGAGGCCCAGCAGAAACCAAGCCAAGCTGGTCTGCTGGCCAGGATGCTTTCCTTGACTGGAACTGGAAAAATCCCACATCAACTCAGGCTTGCACTGATTTTTCACACCAAGACTGCTGATTGTTTTAGTCAGTAAGATTTTCCTGCCTCTGTTCTCAGTATTTGATACTCCCTTAGATAAAAGCCAGGGATTTGGAGCCAGTAGAAAACACAAGCACAGCCTTTGTTTAGGTGTGAGTCTGGGGTGCTTTTCCATCTCCTCCCAGGGCAAGGAGGGTGAAGGATTAGAAATGCTGGTGGGAGCTGAAGGCCACTCCTTGCTTACAGAGGATTTAATCACTGCACTTCATGAACATTAGCTTAGTTAGCTACAGCTCCTCAGATGAATGCCAGCCTCGTTTAACTGACTTAATTACTTGACAATTCAGTCCCAGACAGATTATTAACCTCATTAAACGTCCCAGAACACTGAATTTACAATTGAAAAATGCATGGAAACCATAATAATACCTCATTTCACTGGCAGCATCTGGCCTAGGCTGGGTTTTCACTCTCTCTGCAGCAACTTCTGAGCTCTTGGATGTTGACGAAAAAGAAGGGATTGAAATCTGTAAAATACTGGTGTGGATCTGTAAGGAGTTCTGAAAAGGATGAAGAATATGTGTTACACTCTTCTGAGCTGAAATGAAGCAGTTATATATGAAAAAAAGAGTCACACATAAACTGTGAAAAGGAGGGTCTGAAACAAGGTTTCAAAAGGGGTTTTTTCTATTGTAATACAGTGATTTACTATTTGAAAGATGGCATTGAAGATAAAACATGAATCATTGCACAGATAAGCAAGAGCACAGACAGAAATCTCCCAAGTCTCCCAAGGCTGCCTCCTCACTCTGTCTCTACCACAGACACCATGAAGAGTAGTTCACTTTTCAGGTTTACACTTGTCCTCAGCCACTCAGAGAATACCAAAAAACTGCTAAACATTCAATTTAATTTCATTTTTTTCATAGTGTATTCAAGTAAGTCAAGTCCCTGCTCTGACTCAGATTTCTAAGAGAAGAGATCTATAGTTTTATTACTGATTGTAAAAATCAGAGATTGGGCCACAACACACTTACCATTTAACTGAATGGATGCAATAATGTAAAGAATATGGCAGGATATATTAAATAAGTCCTGCTTGTTTACTTCAAGTTCCTGCCACATTAAATATAGCCATGTCTGACACGAAAACTAATTTCTGTGTGCTTGATAGGAAAAGTAGTTTAGACCCGTTCTCGTGGCAAAAATTAATTTAATTCAAACTCTTCAGAAGCTTTCACAAGAAAACTACATTCTCCAAAAGGATATGAGACATTACTACAAACTGTGCAACCCAGAAAAAAAGTCTTTTCAGAAACCTGAGTTTTGGCATCTGCGATATTGAAACCAGCACAAACAAAGTTTCCAAGGACCAAGGGCATTAAATGAGGAAGGAATAAGGATACCTCTTCATGAATATTCACATTAAACTCATCATGGATTGGAGATGCTGTCACTGGGGTTGGGGATGGGCTTTTCTCTGGGTCAGTCAGGCTTGGTGTGTCCAATAAAACCGTGGAAACAGACGCTGAATTCAAGTCTTCACCGTCACTCTCCTTGCCTGAAGGGAGAGAATGTGGAGGTTTGCTAGCTTTATTTCTGGATACATGATGATCCCTGTGCCCGTGCAAGGTGCAGTCATTTATGGGTCAAAACAAACACCAACAGCAAAAACCCCAGCAAATGCCCTCAGGGAGTTTACTGGGATTGCTTTCAACCAGCTGAATAAACTGGAGTAGTTATTTCCTGCCCATGTTCTGGAATTTCATACCAAATGCTTCTTTTCCCTTATTCACCTGGAAAAGACCAGGAGGTCAAGTCTGCCTGAAATTTAAGCTGTCTCTGTGGTATCTTTGAGTTACCCACAGGAAAAATGCAGCCCACTGCTCAGAGGTCTATCAGCAGCCTTTAAGTGCCTACATTGTGCCTGCAGCCTGCCACAAACTGAGTGTTTGTGTCCTTCAGTTCATGCTGAGGCATCCTCTGCTCCCAGTATTGCTCCTGAACTGCCCTGGTGCTGCCAAAAGCCTTGGACTGGTTGTTAAAGACAACCAAGGCTTCCAACAAAGTGAGCAGGAATCTCACACTCGTTGCCAAAGACCTGAAGCAAACACAAGCCAAAGTTTGTTCACAGCCAAAACCTCTCTTGCCCAGTTTTCACTGCCAGGAACATCTGTCCACGCTCCGTGCAGTGACCCCAAAACACAGTTCCCAGAGACTCAAAAGTCTGTTCTAACACCCTCCTGTGTTTGAAGGGGTGAAAAAGCAGTTCAGAAACTGCTACCCCTCCAACACTCAGCCCCACAAAAATATGTATTTTGCTTCCTCACTCCTCAGGTGTTGACAATCCTCATTCTTTGAAAGAATCCCTGGGGGCTCTGTGTCCATCTCCCAGGAAGGTCACCCACCTCCAACACCTGCACAGCCAACAAAAGCCACAAGCCCATGTCTGTCCTAAACAAGCTCAGGCAAACTCAAACCTTTGACCAGCTCAACATTTATCACCTCAGGGGATCAGAAGCTGGATCTGGAAACCTCCACCAGTCTTGGAACACATGGAAAGGACCACGTTAGGGTTTAGATTACAGGTACCAGTTCAGTCTCCCAGCTAAGCTCCCTACCACAATGCACCTGGAGTTTAAATGAGGGCAAAGTTTAATTTTTTTTTTTGGTTGTACAATACCTTTTTTCCCTTGAGCCAGAATCACCATGTCTTGAACTTTCTTGTACCTGTTCAGAGATTGCCGGAGCTCTTCGATCTTCCGATCCTAAAACAGAGGCAGGTTGTGACTGTGCCTCTTCCCCCAGAAATACAAATAACTACATTCTGCAGTTTAACTGGTTGTGAGACTGGAAGAAGTGGGAAGTGTGGATGGGACAGGACTCAGAATGCTGGGAGGTTTTGAAATATCATCTGATTATTGCCCCGGCCTTGAAAGCGGATTCCAGCTCCCTTGTCAAGTCAAAGGTAGAGTACAATAAATTGGCCCTGTACAAAGGATTTAGGGCTTTGGTGATCAAAAGAGAACATCCTACAAAATGCACATGCATATGAAAGCACAAAACCATCCATTAAAACAACTCCTACTTCACAGAGAGCCCTTTTGGGAACACAGACTGCCATAGGGTACTTTTATGGAGCTCTTTACATTTTCAGAACACGGTGTAAATTGTAGTCACACTGAATTCAGTGACACAACAGTAAAAGGACTCTGTAAGGACCCTCTGTACATGCACAGAGCTCAGAAATGCTCAGTTACAGCCCCTTAAAGGCACTGCTGTGCTTCTGACTACAAAAAATCACCAGTTCTTAGAAGCTTGGTTTTTAATTGAATTGTGAAAGGCTCAAACACGAAGATTTTCTTAGAGATTTAAATCAGTCTGAGGAATGATTGCTGAAAAAAGAATGACTTTGCTACCTTCTCTTCATTTGCTGCCATTAGAGATTCTACTGCCTTCTTCATTTTCTGTACCTCTATATCTAAAAACACAACACAGTTCTCCAAGTCAGTTTAAACAAGACACTTGTTTAAATAAATAAAATGCAATGAAAAAAGAAAAACAAACAAAATAAAAACCTGGAAGCAATTCAGTAATATTTGAAAGTAAACTTATAAATTAACAGACAAAACATAAGCCATTTAAATTCTGGGTTAGGTGGAAATACATGGAAGAAATCCCTTTTCTTCAAAACCTCTGACAGTTTTATCAAGGCAATTATTAAATTCAGGAACTTAAGAGAATGGAAAATTCAAGAGTAAAACTACTGCTTGACTTTTCACCATCTCCATCTTTCAAACAGCCAAATAAGTACAAAGCAAAAAGTTCAAAATAAGAAATACTCCATTTGGAGTGCAATAAAATGCATCCTCATTACAGCAGTCAACAAACACCCCAAATGGCATCTCAAAAACCCCCTATCCAAAGCAATGGGATTAATGGATATGATGAAGGAAGCATTGGGCAGTGATGTTTAATTACAGCCTTAATTCAGTGTGGATGTAGAAATTAGGACAGCACAATGGAATGAAACAAGTATTTGCTGTGAGGAGCAGTCATGCTGGAGTAAATATATATTCACACTTGGACCAGGTCCTTAATACAGACAACAGCACTTCATCTATAATCCTTATTTAGCAAGAAGTACAAATACATGGAAATATGTATGTTCTGGAGGTGTTTTGAACTAGAAATCCAAAGAGAATAGGAACAATCTCCCTTTTCTCCTAAAAATCCACCTTGTGTAAATGAAGTGAGCTTTAAATTTTGACAGGCAAACTTCCTGCCAAACTTCTCCACAGGTAAGAAAGCCCTTTACATTGTTCTAACTCCCCAAAAATTCTTGGAAAGCAAAACAGAGCAGGAAGAACATTTTCCTCCTTAATGCCATGCAAGAAGAAAACAAGCTGCCTGGCTGGCTTTCCGGATTAAAGACATTTAGAAACTAAACCAGTAACTGAGCCACTTCCAGTGATTTTTCCCTCAGTTCTGCTGGCTGAAAATCTGGTTTTCTGGATTGCAGCTGCATTTCACTGGGAGGCAACTGCTTTGTGGGTCTTGTTGAGACCAAATCTTTCTTTGCCCATCAGCTTTTCTTAGAAAATTTTGGGGTTTCATGTGATATCTCCACCCTTATTCTCCAGTGTTACCGTAACTAAGGGTTATAGATGATGCAACCTGACCACGTTTGTTAAAGCAGTTTTGCAAACACATGCAGGGAGCTATTCTGGAAAGCACTTCTGGAATGCAAATGCTGGGGGAAAGACACCAGAAACCTTACTTTTGTCTTTGAGCTTCTTTTTACAATTTTCATCTGTGCAGGAAAACCCATTGATTTGAAATTAGCACGAAGGTTATGACATTAAATAACTTTTGAGAGAACGCTGATAATAAAAAGAGACAACTATTCCTCACTTCACTCAGCTAATGAGGCAGATAATCTGGGCTTCTTAATGTTGATCCAAGGCAGAAGAAAACGTTTCATCATAGCCAAAGATCTTCTGCTGAGCTGTACTGAAAACTAAACTAAAGCTGAGGACCTGAGGGTAATGGGAGTTCAAGCAGCTCCCCAGGAAAAAAGAGCCCTATATAAGTAGTCATGAATGCAACAAAATCAGACCTTGTTCACATTTAAATGTCCTTAAATGTGGTCACTTGTAGTGATTTTAGCCAGTGGTTTTGAAAACAGATCATTTTATTAAATAAAATGTGACAATCTACACGCAGCCTTTTCCTCCTCAGGTCAGGGGGGAGACTAATCTGTCGTGGCTTTGTTTTTCCAAAAAACACACTTTGAAAGCATGACCTTAAAATCAGCAGTAACTACCAGTGAAATGCATTCAGAATTTAAACTGCAGCAGGCCAAGAAAGTCTGTGGAAAATTCTTGTGAGGCTTTAACAAAAAATAAATTTTAGTTTTCAATAACATAAATCCTGAATCTAAGCTTAAATAAACACTAACTTAGTTTTTTCTTTACAAGCAAATAAAATAATTACCTGGCAAGGAAAACGTGTGTGCTAATTCAAGCCTAACTAAGATTTGGACTTGACCAGTGCACAAATCTAGAATCAATCCTCAGTTTCACCTGCTTACGGGTAGGTCCACATCATACTTTGGTCTGCAGTTTGGCTATTCCATAGATAATAAAAAATAGCACAAAGCCCACAGATACTCAGGCAGAAAAATGTCCTTTTCGGGGAACTTGCTGAAATTCTTTTAAGTGTCTCTTGGCCAATACAAACTGCATCTTTTTAGGCCTCCAACAAGCCACATAAAGATCTAGCTAGGGACAGATATCCTGGCCTGTTCAAATGTGATCAAGAACTTGCTTTGACAGTAATTCCAGCAGCTGCATCATCAACACCCACTAAATAAATATCTTACGAGAGGTAAACACAAAGCTTGTGAAAATTGAGGCTTTTATCTCCTGTACAAGCATTCCTGGAGACACGAGCTCAGATGAGGTGACTGAGCAGGACATGGTGACAGAGCCTCCTTTTCTCTTACCTCTGTCCAGGATTTCAATCCCTTCTCCTTTGAGCTTGCAAACCAATTTCTCGTGCAACCTTTTTACCTCGGCTTCCTTCTGCTCCAGTTTGTCTTTCAGAGCTGAGAGCTCATCCTGTAACAGAGACAGAGTCCCTCAGGGACACACAGCTCAGATGTTCCCAAAATTTCCTCCTAGGGAGCACACTGGGCAGATCCTCAGCCTGTGGAAATGACCCAGGGACCCCCCTGGCATTTACACCCACCAAACTGACCCTGAACATCACAACAGACCTCTGGGGGCAAAACCAGTGGTCTGGAATTGTCAGACTCATTGTAAAGAGATTTTACGTCTAAATTTAAAGGAGAAATAGTGAAGATTTGAAAAAAAAAGGAGTTTGCTTATTTATTTTATTTCTTTAACCTTGCACAGACAGAAAAAGTGCAGGTGATGAGGGCAAAGGCTAAAACCTGCAGAGATTTAGTTTGGTATTTTTATAGGGCATTTTGCATGTTCAAAGCCAAACAACCAGGCTGAGGACAGTTTCAGAAATAACCACTGCTTCTATGGAAGAAAAATCAACCACAACACCAGCAAGCACATGGACACACACACTGGAAAGCAGTTCAGACACAAATGTGGTACCTCTGCCACAGTCTGGGTTTGCTGATCAAGCACTAGGGAAGGAAGCTCGGAGCTGAGACTCTTGGGAACGAGACAGATGGTGTTTGGGGGAGTTGGGGTGTATTAGAAAAATGCTGTCAAATTTTAACTTAGATCCAACCATCTGCACTAGCAAGTGAACTGGCACAGCCCCATGCATTTAACTTTTTAAAAGTTGAGTCGAATCCTACCCAGTTTAGTAACATGTTTTCTGTGATGTCCGAGGATATCTTGTGCAACAGCGTCATCAAGACAGGGCCCTCAGTGCAAATGTACCCAACACTGAAAATTTAATTTGTTCAGCTTGTAAACAAAACAAAACAAGGCAAGACTCAGCATTTTGGCATTAACAGCTTGTTAAATGACGTTTTAAATCCTTAAAGGAATAAACCAAACTACAAAATGCCATGGTTTAGGTATTTTCCTGAGCTAACCCTCAAAAGATCTGTTGCAAATATGAAGTGATGTCTGCAACCCAGACTATGGAATTTCCTGAAACTGGTTCATGTTTGCTCTAAAGCATCATAAAAAAGAAAAAAACCCAAACAAACCCAACCCACAGATCAATTAATTAAGATCAATCTTAAAATTGCCAAGAAATCAAAGCTTCTTCCCCAACAGCGGTTGGGCAATAAATACAGTTCTCCAGTGCTCAGCAGGGCACTGATCCTGGTGGGATTTCTGCCAGTGTAGGATCCATGCTCCTCCAAATTAAGACCAGCTCTTGGTCACTTGAGAAGCTGCTGTTATACCCACAGGCAGCCAGAGCTGCACGTGGCTGTCAGTGTGTGCTTCTTCCCCCGAAATTAGAAACACGATATGCAAATTTACATGTGGGAGAGGGGAGGCAGGGGGGGAGTATGAGAGAATCACTATTTTCCAGCTAGTTTTCATGAATAAATTTTCTATAAAAGGGTGATGCAAAGTTCTGCTTGAATAATGGATGTGAAAGCAACACACGAGGCAACCTTCCCTCGGAAGGGGAATGATTTTAACCCGAGTCTAATTCCATTATGTGTCACCTTATGCAAAGGTGACACCACTAAAATCCTCTCCCATGCCAAATGAAAGCTGTTTACAAGGCACATCTACATCAGGAGCTCTGTAAAACGAGGCAGGGCACACTGCATACCACCACACAGCACTGAATGAAGAACAGAGCGTGACAGCACGATGAGAGACTGGCAAAAGGGGGGGACATGAAGGATTCAAAACAGGCCCAGTGTCCCCCAGAAACTACCCCACCTTTAGCATCTGGCTTTTTTGCTCCATCCGCTGCTTTTCATACTGCATCTGCCCCACTTTGATTTTCATACTAGAAAGTTTGGCCATTAAAGACTGGTAACAGAGACAGAGGAGTGAGAGAAAACTGAAGGCAGAAAAGAGACAAGGCTAAATGGTAAAGAGAAGTTAGACACTCAGAGCAACAGGCTGCTAGAAATACTTAGGTGCATGTTTTCACACCAGAAGTGGCTTATTTTTAGCACATTGAGAAGAAAATAAATGCTAAATTTTGGTCCCAACTATTGCACACACTTTGTGTGCTGCAACTGGTGTTTCTTGACACACATGTGAAACAAGGCTCTAAACAGGTCATAAATTTACTAATACAGCAAGGTGAGTTATCCTTCATAAGAAAAACACTGCTCAGGCTGCAAACCACAGCATGACATTTGGAAATAGCCCCTGGTGCTAAGTGAGAACCATGAAACCCCAGGGCTTGAGAGGGCTCAGCATTTTGCAGGGTGCAGGCAGGGACTGGGGAAAAGAGAGTGAACTCCTAAAACCTGACTGAGAGCCATCTCTGCCCTTCCCCTCGGCCTCACTCACTTTGGTTGTTTTCAGTTTTTTCTCGTACTGGAGTCTTTCATTGTCCATCTCTCCCACTCTCAAGCGCAGTTCATTTATTTCCTGGATCAAATCCTGAGCGAAGGGAAAAAGAAGAGCAGAAACAATGAGAAAATTCAGTAAAAAGCCCCAGAACAACAGCTACCCATTGGTAGGGAAGCAGCAACAGTAAAAGCAGCAATAAAAGGCACCCTGTACACAAAATCACACCACCTAAGCCAAGCAACTCAGAGCTTCCCAGATAACCAGGGACTCTGTTTCTCGGCTTTCATTTCTGTTCCCAGGTCTGTCACCTTTGACACTCTGACAATTGATTTTGGGGGGGTTTCTCTCTCCTGTGGCATGACCCAATGTCACTGTGTGGCACTCACTGTTGAGTGAATTCCACCAGGATTCAAGAGTGTAGTAGGATCCTGGAGCAGAAGTGAAATTATTCTGATTAATCTCTTATGGACCTCCTGGGTAATCAGACCCTTTACCACTGGTAACTGGTGACCAAAAAACACCATACAGTTTCTCTCAAGTGTTAAACAGAAGTTCAAGACAAGTCCTAACAGAATGCTTTGCCACCAGAATATTTTCAATTACTCCCTTGCAAGTGCACCCCCAAAAAAATAAAAAAAACAATGATAACTTTGAGCTGTGATGAGTCAGAGGTTTTCCTTACTGGCTCTGGGAACACAAACTGCTCCTCTCAGAAACTCCTGTGCACAAGGGACACTGGTGGTGGTTAAGTTATGAAGATCTCCCCGTGACTGAGCCACTTTTACCCTCTGGCTGCTGCTTCAAAGGCTGGTTATGGACGCCTCCCTAAATAAACTCCCTTGTAAGGTATTTTCTTATATAAACTCAGTCCAACTCAGCCCACCCGTGTTCCTTAAGGAAAATAACGCTGGTGCCTGCTGAGAAAGTGGAAAGACTGGAATGATTGAAAGAACAGAACAATTACAAATCCCTATTAAGTATACAATTAGCTTGGGGAAAAGCTGTGTATTTGTGAACATCTAGACAGCAAATCCTAGAGCAGAAAGGCCCAGTGAAGCATCTGTTTAGAGAAAGGATGGAGAACATGAGTAACCAACCAAGCTGGAATGGGAAGTTGCATAAGAACATAAGGAACAACTGGATAATACAGGGATTTAATTTGAATGGTAATTCTGTAGGAGACAGTAGCTCCACAGGAGTTGTCAGATGTCAATGATGGGGTTTTTTTTTCTTTTCCATGAATAAAACCAGAAGCAATAGTCATAGCTTTTCTTCCCCAGCTTGGGTAAGAATCTATTTCCATTTTGAACTCTTCATGTAAATGCCACAATGTGTTTTGTGGTCAAATATTTTAAATATTCATTTAAATATTCAGCTCTGCTAAAATAGTTGATAATCTGCTACTTTAAACAGGAATATCATTAGATCAATAATGAATAAAATACTGTGTCATGCTGATTAAGCACTGCCTCCAAAATACCTCTTGGAGATTTCGTAAGGGCTGAGACCCTTACAACTAATCAGCCATTCATTTTTCCACTGAACCAAACGGAAATTAGGATATATTACCCCTTTCAGTGTTTAAGCCTAAGCCTTTTTACACCTATAAAGTGCTGAAGCAAAGAAGAAACAATGTAATAATTCCTATTACACTAAACTACATCGTTCTGGTTTTCAAAGGGAGGGAGGAACATTTCAGTAATAGTTCATTAGTTCTGGCAGAAACACCCAGGAAATAAATCTATATAGCCCCTAATTAAATAGAATTAAGTTATCTTATTTTTATCAAGGGCATTAAGTGTATTTCAAGGTATTTCAAAGAGAAAGGTCTTGATAGCCTTTTGCACAGAGCTTACAGAGCTGCAGTTCAGGGTGTGCTCCCCACACTGGAGCCACTTTTCTGGGAACCAGTAGCTCCAGGTCCACCTTCTTGGTATGTGAGTTGTGCTATTAAACCATGGAGAGACTGCAGTTCAGGGTGGAAACAAAGGAAGGGGGAGTGCAGGAGAGCTCTACAATCAACTAGATTTAATAAAAATAAGGATAGAAAGAGAGGAAGGAAATCAGACCTGTTACCGAACTAGAGCAAAAGGTGACAGGAGGCACATGGACCCATCCCACAGCTTTGGAAAATGTGCTGTCACAAAGCTGTCACCACCCACAGAATCACTTACTTTTAAATCTGAGGGTGTTTCAAGTCATTAGTTTTTAACCTGTGGGCTTCAGGTCCAAAGGAAGCAATTCAAAAGCAAGCCTAACTCTTTTCCTTCTGCTCGTAAAGCCAGGTGAGGAACGACGCTTCACTGGAAACTAAGGAGGTGGGAAACCACTGACTGAAGTGGAAATTTTTCTCTCCTGTGATTACAATATGGCTTTTTTCCTTCTAGAAATGAAGGACATCTGGAACATCCACAATACAAACACCTGACATTTCAGCTCGGTTACGAATCCAGAAGTGGAAACTTTGTTCTGCTTCGCAGGCAGACCCAAGGAACTTCTGATATGGGGCATGTCATCCTGGCAGCAAAACCTGGCCTGATACCTGGGGTTTCCTAGAAAAAAACTGGGTTTGCCCACCTGTTTTGAAGCTTTCTGGCTTCAAAAATGAACAAGGCTCAGCTGCACAGACCTGCAATGCAGAGGGTAAAGGCCTGAGGGGAGCACTGCCAGGGCTGGCAGCTCTGATGGCAGGAATCCCAAAGTGGCTCTGGGAACCTTCCTTTGTAAAACCAGAATTTAACAAAGGGGACACTTCTAATTTTAAGAGATATATTTTTTAACCTTAAAGATGAGTTCTCTTCTTGCCTGTTTCAGGTTCCTTTTAGGTAATGTCAAGACACACACAGCTTTCACAATTTATTCCGTCGGGTTTTACTCACCTCTGTGTCCCTGAATCTGTCCTCATAGTCCAATCTATCCTTCTCTACAGATGTAAGCTTTAATTTCAGAGTGGAAATCTCTGCCATAAGATCCAACTTCTGAGTTTCAAGGGTTGTTCTGCTTAAAAGCTCCTGATTCAAGATAAAGAGGAAGAGAACAGAATTATTCACCCAAGGGGAAAAAATCAGTGATTTATTCTGACAGCTAAAGCTCCCCTTCATGGGGAAAAGCATCACCCTCTTTCTTGCACTGTGTGAAGCCCTGGGACACAGCTATTATCCGTCTGACAGACTCCAGGCACCTAGGATGCATCTGGGATCACGGGGGCACTATCCTGGGCTGGCTGCCAGGCTGAGGAAAAAGCCTGTCTGTCATCACAGTGGCTGTGGGCAGCAAGGAGCTGTGAGGGGAATCCAGCCATCCTGCCACGGGGCTCTGATCTAAAGGCTCTTTGAAGTTCAGTGGGGAAGGACTCAAAGAAGAGCAAACTGGATTCCTACAGTGGGAAGCAGCACTGACATTACTAAGCACAAAGACTTGAAAGCAAATATGGTAGAAAATTACCCCTTAGCTAAGAGATATCAAGGGGTGCAACACCTTGGAGTGCCCTGCTCTCCCCACAGCACAGCGCAGGGTGTTTGGGACAGGCAGGGAGCTGTGAAATACCTGCTGCAGCATCTCCTCCGTGGCATTCAGCTTCTCCCTGTGCTCCTCCAGGCAGAACTCCAGATCCCGAATCTTCTCTCCCTGGGCCTCCACCTGGTCTGTGAGCACGCTCACCTGGAGAGCAGGGACAAAGGGCTGCACGTTCAGCACCTCGAGTCTGTGCCAGCTGAGGAACTGCATGTGAGTAACGGTGCTGGCTGGGCCAGGGGGGAAATGGGACCGTGCAGGGAGAGCAGCAGAGCTCTGCAGTGGACACAACACTTGGCAAAGGCAACAGGAGAGGAGGGAAAACTGCCCTCTCACGCCACGGTTTCAGCCAAAGTTCTGGTAGGGGCATTGCAGTTCTGCATCTCCCCTCCTGGCTTGTCCTGGAAGTTTCCATGGGGGGTGGCTGCTGCACTTTGCTACCAACAATTATGCCTTTGCTGTGACAATCCATTAACTAAACCCATTAGTTCCCATCTCAAGAACCAAATAGCCCAATCTCCCTGCTTACAATTTATTCTCCTTCCCCAGAGATCACACACTGTGTACCACAGCAACCAGTTCCTCCTCTTGAGAGAAAAAAAAAAAGCAAAGGAGGTTAAAACACACAGCCCAAGGCTGGGCAGGACCCAGACAACACCTTTGAGACACCTTTCCTAAGGACAGGACATCTGTCTCCTGAGGCAGCCAGCATGGGAACGGTCATGGAAAGCAGGGATCTTAAGGATTTACATGAACGTAGGTGGCTGCTCTGCAGACATGCTCAGCTAACAAGATTCACAGACAGATCGGATACACAGACAGAAAGGCCTTTGCATTCTTCCTGCAATCTAAATCCACACCCATCCTTAATCTGGGTTAACTGTCCAAGACATCACAACTTCAAATAAATTCTCAGAGGTTTCTATCACATGCTTTCAAAAAGTCTCATGAATGCAAGAGCAAAAGAAAATACTTGGGGTGACAACTCACTTGCAGAACAAGAGATTCCTTATCGTTTTCCAGACGAGCCAGCCTTTCCTGATAAACATCTCCATTCCCAGATATGTGTCCATTAGTCTGAAAAAGACAGCAAATATTGCACAGTCAGCAAGTGTAGCACAGTGCCATCCAATGCTATCAGCACACTTAGGGAGTATTTTTTAGTCTGCACAGTTTTGTAGTATCCTCCAGCCCCCCAAGGGTCACATATCAAATACATTGCCAACAAAGGACACACCATTCAGGAAAGAATTGTTCAAGGGCTCCAAGAAAGAACCTTCTGGTGACCCAGTTCTGCAAAAGTCACTTACTGTGCATTCAGCATTTTGCTAACAAAATTTGGACTCAACCATACACAAGGCTAAGCCAGACTTGCAAGGAGACAAATACCCTGAGACATTCAGTAAGTGAATAAATAAATAAATAAATAAATGTGCAATCTACAAGATGTGTGTTATGCTTCCTGCAAGTCGTACACACAGCAAGAGACATCTTTTTACATCAGGCACATCTTACTGGGTACGGGTGAACGTCTGCACTCTGAACACATCTCTTTGCAAAGCTGCCTGAGGCTAAAGAGAAACAAGAATACATGTTAATGCTATCAGAGAGTTCAGAGGAATCAGCAACTTTCTCCATAATGACTTCAATGCTCTTGAGCAGCGAGAAGGGCTTTATTCTATCCATATTCAAAGCTGTCTCAAAGCACTCTGTGATCCATGCCACGATCAGACCTCGGCTCAGAACAGAAATTCCTGTTACCATCGTTGCATAAATTGCTTAGAGGAGGCTGAGAAGCTGCTCTGAAATCCAGCAGAGACACCCCCCAACGTTGAGGGGCCTTCATTGCCTCCTGAATATGTGATGAGCCTTGCCAAAACACAGACTGAACTCCCTGCCTCCCAACCACCACATCAGCACCCGAACCGCTGACCCTCCTGACACCTCCAGTCAGCACAACCAGACAGGAATCAGCCGAAACCAAAGGCTGCGTGAGGAAAGCGTGGGGAGGGAGGTCCTGGTTTCACACCACGATGAAAATGTCTTTACAATGCTGTGAAAACCAACGAGGTGTTAAAGCAGAATGTTAGTCAGAGCTCAGCATCTTGCCAAGACACCTTTGTTGCTGAACTCCCTTCGCGTTTCTGACACGAAAATCCGCTTTGCTCAGCACGTCGCACTTGGCTTTAAAACAGGAGTGTTTGGAGAGGGACAGCTCAGGCCAGAGCTGTGCACTGACATCAGAAACAGGGAGGAGGGAACCCCAAACAGCACAGGAACAAAGGTTGTTCTCGCTCAAAGCCAAATAAAAGGGCTTAAAGAATCACAGACTTGTTAAGGCTGGAAAATATCTCCAAGACCATCAAGTCCAACCATCGACCCAGCACCACATTCACCACTAAACCATGTCCTCAAGAGCCATAGCCACATGTGTTTTACATCCCTCCAGGGATGCTGACTCCACCACCTCCCTCCAGTGCTTGATAACCCTTTCAGGCAAGAAAATTTTTCATAATATCTGACCTAAACCTCCCCTGGTGCAACGTGAGGCCATTTCCTCTCGTCCTGTCAAATGCTGAGGGCAGTTCATCTTTTCTCTAGGAGAAACCTTGCAGAGATGTCTCAGTTTTGCAAGTTGTGTGTACTGGGGGCAAAGATCTCTTTTGTGGCTACTGCCAGAAACATTTTCCAAAACCTCCATAAAAGCAGACCAAAACCAGAAAACCTCGAGTACAACCCAAGGGCAGTTGGCTTTTTGCCTGAGCTGTTTTAATTTCTGCAAGGCAGGACTGACTCTTCATTTTAGGCATAAAAAGTCAAGAAGGTCACTGACTTTGGTTTCAGTGGAGGAAAAGATGACACAGAAAGACCACGGCAGCTGCTTCCAAGAGCAGCAGCCCCAGCCCCTCCCAGGGTGGTGCAGAGACCAGGGACCTGCAGGTAATGGGCAGATGCCCTCCCAGATCTTTGCTCTGCACTGTCTGAGGTAAAAAGTTGATTCCTGACGTGATATCCTTCCCAGAGAGATGAGAAAGGAAGAGGGGAAATGAAACACATGAAAAGAAGAAGAGAGTAATAATGGCAGTGGGTGGAACTGAAGAGAAACAGAGAGGGAAGATGCCCAAACACTGAATATGGGAAAGAAGTGCATGAGGAGATGAGGTGGATGGAGCCTTAACAGCAAGAAAGTGGATACAGGAAAGTCTGAAAGATGCCAGGAAACCTGGTGTGTGCAAAACCTGGGAGAGCAACACTCAGTGTGTCCTTCAGGAGTGTCTCTCCACCTAGGAACCTGCATCCTCCCCCTGGGACTGAGCCTGGCAACCACTCACCCTGCAGAGCAATGGCTTTGCTTTGAGGGGAGAAAATAACAATAAGAGAAGCAAGAAAGAAAAGTAAATGTTTGATTCAACAGCATATTTGGGGCACTTGGTAGTTCTGGATCAAATTTGTATCATTTATGTCAATACAGGATTAACACAGTTTACGAGCTGTTCAAGGAAAGCTTTCCCTTTTCCAAAGAAGGCTCTTTTCATCAGCAACTTCAAATCTATCTTCAATTAAGCAGTTGGACTTTGCATGTGTTTTCAGTTTGGGGATTAACAGCAAAACACTGCACGGGAAGAGAACGCAGATTTACCAGTACAGATTCTAATCCTAAAAACAAAAGAACAGTTGTCAAAACGCCACTGAGGCTTCACAGAAGTTTGAGGTTAAGCATTTACTTAAAATGCCTCATAAGATCAGACCCAGTGCACTTAGAAACTCTCCAAGATCAATCCGTGGCTAATCTGTTAAACACGTGTGGAAGCTTTGTCTGTAATCATCTAAGTGTAAAAATCCACGCTGCTCTGGAGGGAATTATTCCTGAAGTAAGCAGATGCATCACCAAACTTTCACAGCTTGTCTGCCTTCATTCTCTAATCCCTTTTCCCTGGAAGTGAGTTAGCATTCCAAACCGCAGGGAAGTTTCTAATAGCTGCTGGTTTAAACCTCCTAATAAAAAAAATAAATAAATTATTTTAAAAAATAAATAAATCCATTTCCTCTCAGTTGCTGAATTCTCCTTTCAAAGATAACTCATTTTTTAGCCTACCACAGCTGATACCCTCATTTCCCTTCATTTTCTCTCCTGCTTTCGGAGGAGGGAAATAAGCAGCACAAATCACACTGCTCTTGCTGTATGTGCAGTTTGATTTGTATAGAAGGAGCTGCCACTCCACAGCATCATCTCCTTGTGCAGCAGATTGCACTGACTGCTTGGACCACCACAGGCAAGTCAACAGTTGGGCAAGTGAGCTGTCCCTGACACCTCTTCCCTGACCATCTGGAGTTAAATTAGAGCTCATCAACATGCTTACACTGTTCACATCATTAGAATACACATTACCTATGCTTAGTTAAACAAAGCTGCTGCTGTTCTGCTTGTTCCCTCAGCCTTAGAGAGTCCTTTGCAAGGGGGTTCCTCCAGCCCCAGCCACCTCAACATCACTCTGTGTGCCACGGAAAGAGCCTCCAGGTTTTCCAAGCAAAGTATTTGGATACAGAGCCATGACAGCTTTACTCTCTGTAAGCATTGATTCTGTCCCAAATTTATACAGGTCTGAGCACAATTCATATGGTGTTCAACCAGTCTGTGTGGGACCCCACCATGCCCTCCCAAACCGGCATCTCCCACATTTCACACTTCCCAGTTTATCCCTCTGAGTATTTGCACGTGCTCTGGAAGCAGACAGGCAGACCTGCTGCTGAGCTTTTCCTAAAGTTTACACCTTAGTTCCCCCTTACAGAATGAGAAGGGGGGGAAAAAAAACCCCACACAAACCCTCTCAACCCCCCCACCCCCACGTTACATTTTAAAGGCTTCCCTGCAATAAAAGCGAATTCTGAAAGAAAACCAGCTTGAGACAGCCCTTCACTCTGAGACCTTTACCTGAAACATTTTGTAAATACCAATATTGAACAGGGAAGATGCACTCGTGTCACAGTGTTCCCCTTCCTCAACAGCAGCACAGCTGGTGCTTGATCCAAGAGGAGGACGAAATTCCCATCCCCAGCGTCGCCCAGCTATGGTTTGTCAGCGGGAGAAGCGCAGGAGGCAGAGCAAACACGGAGCTCCTTACCTTATTTAGCCACACGCAGTGGCCGTGAATGTCCCAGCTGTACTCCATGCTGGTCATGGCTATTTCCAGGCAGCCGAGGGGCTGTGCGGATAACCAGGCTGGGAGCCGCAGCCCCGGCGCCGTCAGGGCTGTGCCGAGCCCAGGGGAGGTGAACGGTCCAGGCTCCCCCGCCGGAGCCGGGATGGAGCGGGAGATGCGGGAAGCGCAGCCCGGGAAGCAGCAGCGCTCGTCGGGCGGAGCGAGCAGCTCTGGGGAGTTAACACATCAAAGCCCGGCGGGGAACTCTCCCAACCCGCATCACCCCGGCGCAGCAGGCGGGGAGGTGGCAGAGCAGCGAAACCCCGACCTGCGAGCGAGGACAGCCCCGCGCACCTCCACCCTCGCTCCCTGTCAGCATCACCCCCTGCTCTGCTCCTCCCGGCCCCGCGGAAACACCCGAGCACGAGGAGCAATTCCCACCCCTCCAGCCGACTGCGGAGTCAAGAGGAGGGAGCTTGCTTTGCCCGGATGGGCTATGACTTGGAAAAAGCTGGAAGGACACGTGTAATTAATTCACTTGTAGACGCCAAGAAAGAAATGGAAGGAAAAGGTTGACTCAGCCGTCCCAGGTCTCACGAGTGGCTTGGTCTCAAGTTTATGTCATGCTTAAGGATGAGGTAAAATGCAACAATAACAACCAACCTCTGTCCTCAGGTTCAAGTTTCAACTGACCCAGTAACAGCAGCAGCATAAAAAAATCCTTAATGTATTTTACCACAGAGCCCAACTCGGGGAGTCCTGTGGATTACCTCAAAAAAACACAGCTTTCATAGTGGAAAGAAATATTTAAAACTACCACTGAGAGATAAAAATCTCACAAGCATGAATACTGGGTAACCCAGAGCAACTCAGCAGAGCAGAAGAGGAGCAGGAGCTGTACTTTTGAAACCACACCGATGCATTTTGGATTGGGAATGGTGATTTTTGACCGCTCTGCCATCAGGGCTGCATGGGTTGTTCTTACTGTTGATGAACTCACGAAGATGCCACGCCAAGATGTGCTATAAATGAGCCTGCAGTACCTTCCAGGGTTAAAAGACACACCAGTCTGGATGAAGAACAAGAAGCAGGGTCCTGCATTTCAAGAACTTTGGGAGGCAGATCTCTCCCAGACATGAAGTATTGCTGGCAGGGAATTTACCACGACAGGCTGAGACAGTATCACAAGACTCCTTTGATTCTGCAAACTTGAGGAGGGATCTCAGGTATTTGGTGGTAAACACCCATGTGCCACACATTACCATAGGAGCTTTTGACAGCTAAACCCAGCAGCAGCAGCAGCAGCAGCTGAACCATATGACTGCACTGTACGCCCACACCAGGACAATCAAACAACAAACTTCGGTTTGAAGGCGAGATTTTTCCATGAACAAGAAATATGAGGTGATTTCTGGCTAACCAAACCACTTCCTCCACCGGGGAACCACCCTGCTGCCCAAACAGGTCAACAGATCTCGGTAAGATTACAAGCCATGTTTATCCAGCAGGGAAGGTTTCTCTCTAAAAGCTCACATTCCCTCATGTGAACTCTCACTACTCCACAGTCAGTCTGGAAGGACCAATTTGTTGAAAAATTGTCCAAATCTGAAGCTGGGCTGTGAGACAGCAGCAACACTCTGGATTGCACAAGCAAGCCACTCTGTGCAATACAAAATACAGATCAATCTTCTGATGAGCTGAACATGTTCTGTGGTTGGACTTGGTGATCATCTTAGAGGTCTTTTCCAACCTTAATGATTCCATGATTCTATGTAATTCAATAAACCTTTGGAGGCCAGAAAGTTTGTTTTGCTTGACAGTCAACTTCAGAAATTCGCTTCTGGAGTGAAAATAATTAATAAAACAGGTATTTTATATATACATATATACACATAAATTCAGAAAGTCACTCCAAAGCTAAAACCACAGTTGCACTTGCCGTGGGTTTTAAAGAAGTGTTATCCTGGCTGGTTCATTCCAGGGGCACACCCTTTAAAGAGGGCAAGGCACTCAACAGGACCCATATACACAAGTTCAGATCAGGAGCTTGGGGAAAACGGCTCTGAGACGTGGGAAGAGAATGTCCACCCACTCCCTCCCTTCACTCTTCTTTTTAACAAGACACAGTTGGTTTCTTCTTTCTGGGAAGGTTGTTGCGTAAGATGTATTTTTTAAAAAAAATTAAAACAAAAAACCCAAAACACTTTCAAGAAAAGTAGTAACCAGCAAGAAAACTGTCTCTTCTTTCAACTGAAGCAAGAACTGGAGCAACATTCATGACTGGGAGCAAGATTTCCGAGAATTACCTCCAAGAGACAGATCTATCAACTTCCAGCCAGACACAAGGGGGCTGCAAAAATGTGGAGTTTCATTTAGAATGGTCTTGCTGGTGGTGATGATGTCGCAGACCCTGCTGTCTGTGTTCAAGCCAGAAGGTCCATTTGCCAGAGCACAGCACACACTTTACTAAAGCACAGGCTGGAACCCCCTCAACATTTCTGCTGAAGAAGAGAATTCTGAGAAATCTCCAGAACTCCAGTCACGGCCTGGCTATGGATGACAGGTCTGCTCCCCAGGGAAAGCACAGAGTGTCTGAGCTCAGAAAAACCTTTGAACAAATGGCCTTGTTTGTCATTTTATCCCTGACACTCCCCTGCCCCCCATGAGCACAGGGAGACGTGAGCAGGGTTTCAGCAGCACAGGGGTCAGTCTGAGCTGTACCCACAGGCTGTGGTTGAACTGCCTCACCTGAGCAGCACAGAGCTGCATGCACAACTTCCCCGAGTTCCCCGTGGGCACCAGCCCGTGGATTCTCTTGGAAGAGCTCTGCCAGATGCCCAGGCACTGTCTGTGTGCTCTGGTGTCACGTGGCCACCTGGCACCCACCAGCTGAAGGAAAATAAATCAGCATGAGGCATTTTAACTCGTTGGCCCCCTTTGAAGGGGCACAGACTTCCCTGACACACCAAGAGGAGCACAAATGAAGTGGTTCAGGGACGCAGGGCAGCCCATCCTGGCATGGCAGAACTGAGTGCTCTGCCCCATCCTACAGAAGCAACTTTGGGAGACTGCTGTCATCCCCTTTTCCCAATTCAGGCACCAGCAGTTTCCCTGCAGGGCCAGGAGAGGATTTTTCTCTTGTGACACAGTGTTTGGCAGCAGCAAACACTATTTGTGTTTTCCCCTGAGACACAAGAGGCTCGCTAACAGCTTGGGATGGGATGTCACGCACCAGTTCCAGCAGCCTGGAACAGCCCAGTGGATGCGGCTTCGTGCATGGAGGATTAAACCAGAGACAAACAAAGGAAATGTCTTCCCTTCCTCGGTAAGGATGGGCATGGCTGCAAAAAACCTTCCTGCAAATCATTCATAGAATATGCTGAGTTGGAAGGGACCCACAAGGATCATCGAGTCCAACTCCCGGTCCTGCACAGGACCATCCCAAGAGTCACACCATCTGTCTGAGGGCATTGCCCAAATGCTCCTTGAGCTCTGTCAGCCTTGGGGCTGTGCCCACTGCCCTGGGGAACCTGTTCAGTGCCAACCACCCTCTGGGGAAAGAACATTTTCCCAATATCCAACCTAAACACCTTCCTGCTCAGAAAGGGCCTGGCAACACTGGTGACACCTGCAAATCCTGTGGTTGTAGCAAAGTGTAAGTGCAACGTTCAGTCTTTCCTCCCAGGGGCTTCAAGGATGCCAGAGAATACAGGGGAATGGTCTGAGGCAGATTAAGGAATAACTGAGGCATTGATGGAAGAGCTATTTTCTGCAGTCTCTGGTGCTCACAACCCCTGCACACCCTCCCCAGTGGTTTGGAGGCACTAAACTGAATGGCATAACAGAGCCCTTCCCCTCCCACTCAGCCCTTGGATGCAACAAAAGATCCGTCACTGTCTCATTGCCACGTGGTGATTCCACATCACGGGGTCTGAAGGACCTCATCCCAGATCCCAACAGCCAGGCATCCCTAACTCACACATTTGCCATCACCAGAGGTCACAGCTCATTAATCTCAGCAGGCACTGCAGCCCTCCAGCCACGCTGCTGGGCCCCATTTACTCCACAGTGGATCAGCATCACCGAGCGGACTACTCTGAGCACCACGGGAAAGAGTTCACCCTCTAAGACTGTTTATCTGGCATTTTTCTTGATTTACAAAGGCCATGGTTGCATCAACCTGTTATGCCCCTCAGCTCCTGCTCCACACAGCCTGGTTACAGCGATGTGCACTGCTGTACGTTAGGCAGGAAGGAAATGCTGATGTTGGCAGGAACTCCGTGTGTGTTAAAGATCTGACTCGAGTGTCACTCCCGTCTCTTCCTCCTGATCCCAGCGTTGGCTGCCACACTTTGACAGTGGGGGCAAGGTCCAAATCCCACTGGAGGCAGTGGGAAAGCTCCCACGTGCTTCATTAAGTTTCAGGCATTTTCAAAGGAGTGGTTCAAAGCAAAGGGGGAAAAAAACCCAGAAAATGAAGGCTCTCCCCTCAAACCTTCCTGCAAGAAGCGAGTCCCCACATTGCTGTGCTCAGCCCCCATGACAGCAGATGGCACGAAGGGTCACCCAGCACCAGCCACAGCACACTCACCTTTTGGTAAGTACATGATTTTATTTCCCAGGGTAGTCTTCAGGTAACCTACATCTGAATAATCTTTGATTTTTTGGGGAAAACCAAGTTGTGGGGAAAGAACTGCCTTGTCAGTTATATTTCTGTGTATTTTTAAAGTAAGGTGACAAAAACTGGCTGATTCAGAAACACAGAAAATATAAATATGGTTTGGTATCCAGACGAAAGGGATGCTGAGCTTCTGTTACAAATCAGGTAAGGAAGCTCAATAATAACACCAGTTGCTGCAGAAAACACATCGCCAAAAATGCTTTTCAGTGAAAAGTATTCACAGAAGATGCTGAGTTGGAAGGGACCACAGGGATCCTTGAATACAACTCCTGGCCCTGCACAGGACCATCCCCAAGAGTCACACCATGTGCCTGAGGGGATCATCCAAACCCTCCTGGAGCTCTGGCAGCCTTGGGGCTGTGCCCACTGCCCTGGGGAGCCTGTTCAGTGCCAACCACCCTCTGGGGGAAGAACCTTTCCCTGAGATCCACCCTGAGCCTGCCCTGACACAGCTCCAGCCATTCCCTGGGGGCTGTCCCTGCTCCCCCCAGAGCAGAGCTCAGTCCTGCCCCTCCTCTGCCCTCACAAGGAAGTTGGAACTGCAGGGAGGTCTCCCCTCAGCTGAACACACCAAGTGCCCTCACACGGCTTCAAATCAAGGCAAGGTGAGAGTGTACCATTTGGCTCTGGAGCCACTCGATCAGCGCCTCCGCCGTGGAGTCCGGGATCTGGCAGCGCAGCCCTTCTCGCTCCTCCGCTTCCATCATCTCCAGCAAGCCCCGCAAATCCTCCACCAGGTGCAGCGCCCGCAGGCCCCCCATGAAGGGCGAGGTGGGGGACTGGCAGTCGAAGATGCCGTTGGAATATTCCAGCGCCTTGGAGCCTGGAGGGAGCGAAACCACACGGGAAGGGGTCAACGCCAGGAGAGCGGGAAGGAGCTGGGAAATGGCGGTGGGTGTTCCTGGTAGTTTGTCCCAGCCAAACGGGATGGGCGTGGGATTCTGCCCACACGTTTGGGAAAGCTCCTGCAGGAAGGAGCTGGGCTGACCCCCAGGGGGTGGGAATGCCACAACCCTGCCCGTGGGTTCAGGGCTCCCCGGGATGGATCAGAAACAAAAGGTACTTCGGGGAGAAGGCGCTCCCCGAGCCATCCCACAGGGACTGAACCATCCCAGCCAGGCAGTGCTGGTGTCCAGAGGTGTCCAGACCAAACCATGCCCCGCAGTTTTTCCCGTTAGGAATACGTTATGCTGCTCTAAGGAATTTCAGATTTCTTAAAAGAATAAAGGAAAATACGAAGAGAAATAAAAAAAGACCAAATCACTCCTCCATGGCAATAGATTTTAAACCCAGCAATTTGACACGGTAGCACTGACATTTGCATGTTAATAAAGAGAAAAATCTCATTTGCATAAACCCACAGTATGTATATTTGACCTACATTAGAAGTTGCTACATATTAAGTAAGCAGGGAAAGTATGAATTCAGGAATTAAGGTTGATTTAAGTCAACCTAGCTAATTCCAACTATAATTCCAGTACACTGATTTTGTGACCTTAATTCTGTAATACCTCGGCACAATGAGATGTGTTCATGACAGACCTTCATTTGCACTGTCAACTTCTAGAAACTACAATGATATGCACTTCCATGAACTTTCATTCATTTCATCTGGCAAGCCACAAAAATCCAAGTATTCTGCTAAATTCCCTTTGAAAAAAAAATGAGAAAAAACAATCCCCACAACAGCACAGGAGCTGATATCTCTTTGTTATATTACTTTATAGGGCTGTCCAGAGACGTGGGTAAATGAAGTCTGTGGTGACTTAAACCTTCCAACATCACATTTTGTTTTTATATTAAGCCTCATTCCTGCCATTACCAACTCAGGCTCTTGGAAACACAAATACTTGACTGGATCCAAATACCAGTGTCTACTTATGGAAATTACTGAAGTCACAGCTTATATGTATTTTTAGAGATCATTATGATCAAACTGAATCCCCTTTACATTTGTTCCTGCCATGTGTCCTTAAGATCTTTGGGAAAACTGCAGAGAAGAGCCATTGTTCAAACAAACCATGCACTGCATGATTATTTTTTTTCCCTAAGGGAAATTATTTAAGTGGAACTATTAAAAACTTTATAACTGTGTTGCTATACCTGCAGAACATTTTTTTTTCCAGTTTGGGTAGCTGTTTGCACAGCTTTGATGGAATAGGATTAAACCATTAGCTTCTTTCTGCTTTGCTCCTCTGTGTTGTGTACTTTGTTTTCTAACTCACTAAAAAAGCAGAGGCTGTATTCTTTGTGATACCTCCCCTTGGGTCATTTAAAATTTACAGGTACTTATAAAAAATTCAAATGTTCAAGGCAGGTCCAAGCCAAATATTTGGAGCCAAAGCATTAAAATTTTAAAGAAAAAAAAAAGAAAAAAAAAGAAAGAAAATTTAAGTCATGTTTTAACTCTTCAGAGTTAAACCAGTTACAAGCACATCCCCTTCTCAGCCTGAAACTCTGTCCTCCAGGGACAAGGAAGGAGGACCCAAAAAGCCAAACGAGCCAGCTGCCCCAGGATTTTACCTGCGATGATGCCATCCATCTGCTCCAGAGCCGCAGCCAGCATGTCACTTGCATCACTCATCATCTTCTCTCTTCCCAGGAACAATCCCCAGCTACACCATCAAGGAGCCAGAAAACCCCGGGAGCGTGAGCTGGGTCCAGAGCCTCACGTCTGCAACGTAATCTGCAAGAGAGAATTTCACTTCACTGCCTGCTCTCTGCACTCAGACATCGTTTGCTGACCAGCACAGGCCCCCAGAGGTGCTCACTGCCAGGCAGGAACTGGCACCAAGGAATCAAAGCTCCAACCTGATGACCCAGATTCTGCTGCTGGTCAGCCCACGGCCCGCTCTGCCCACAGGTCCATGCCACTGAAATCCCACCTGGCACTCCAGGAGCTCACACAAGAGACAATTCTGTCGCTAAAAGGAAGCTGCATCTCAGCAATAAACCAAGTGTGTCATCTGCTGTATTTTTCTCCCCAGGAGTTTGCTGGTATAAAAAAAGAGGATTCCGACCACTTGGTCAAGATTTTTGGATGTCTGACAATCCAGAAGTCCCAGGCATGCAACTATTTGCTTGCAGGCAGGATGTCTCAGATGGCCATGACTCAGTGGGTTTGGTGTGCAGGCACAGAGTATCCCTGCCAAGACACTGCTCTGAGTTTAGCAGATTCACACCCTAGCAATGATTGTGTTTTTACCCTCAAACTCCTAAAAAGATCTTACCCTAAAAGCCAGAGGTGGTCCCCAAAGGAGCATTTCCAGCAGAGTCTGGAAAAGCAAACATGCTGCTTGGGCAAGTGAACTAGACCTGAAATCCCGATGGGCTCCAAGTTAAGCAGGTGCTTAGGAAGGTGGCTGCAGTGGAGCTGCACAGGCCAGAGGAATTCCCAATCCCTCCATCCCGGCACAAGGGACACACAAACCACCAAAATAGCCCAGACTGCTTGGGCTTTCATCTAAGGCACGTGAGAGTGTTCTGCTATAAATACACTTAGGGAACAAAGCTAAAGAAACACCAGGAAGGAAAACTCGCTTTAACCTCTGCATGCCCTGCCATTTGGGTTTTGTATTAGGCCACACCACTGCTGACATTTGCCCCAACATAAGCAATTAAGAAAGTTGTTCACAGCATCTCTGGCAGAAGTCCTGGAAAAGAGTCTACTGAAAAACAAGGCAAAACAAAAATTCATGGTATAAACTGAATTATTCCCTCCTGTGAGTCACCTTATTGGTTTGACCCAGCTGGGAAGTAGCTCTCACTGGAGGCTGCCAGCTGGCTTTTGCTGAAATGCTATTCTTAAAATGCCAACAAACATTTCATCTTCCATAACAACATTCTCATTACACAAAGTAGGTCCAAACCCTAAGGTGACTTCTGAATGACAGCACAAAGGCTGCTGCATTTTTGGCATCAAAGGCCTTGCTTTGTTATTTAGTTGTCAGAGTCAGAAGGGCCAAGAGAACTTTAAACAGCCAAAATATCTGTAAGTTAAGATGGTGCAAATCTTAAAAAATGCAGCAGCATTGTGACTGAAGCCTTTCAGCCTTCAAGGAGGAAGCCCCTGATCTTAAGCACATTGTAAACCTTCACCTTCAACCAGTACAACACCTGCCATAATATGAAGACCTGCATATATATACACATATATATATACAACACCTGCCATAATATACAAGATCTGCAGGTTTAGTGCCCGATAAAAACGAGCAGAAAACACAGCTTTTGCAAATACATTCACTTGAATAGTATTGAAGACAGTCTGGGTTTTTTCTGCTTTAGGGTTTTCTGGCTCTGATAATCAGGTCCTGCTCAAATCTGGGTGTCTGGGAAGGCAGAGTGTGAAGATCTGTGGTGGATTCCCCTCTGGGGCTGCTGCTGCCCCCAGGCAAAACACTGCATTCCTCCCAGTTCTAAGTGAAAAAGGACCAACAGTGCAAAGCAACCACAAACCTGAACCAGTCAATTAATGTTTGGGAATCAGGAGTGCCACAGTGTGCAGAAACACCTCACAGGGGAGTAAAGAAGGCAGAGCCAGGCTCTTCTCACTGGTGCCCAGTGGCATGACAAGAGGCAATGGGCATGCATTAAAACACAGCAAATTCCACTGAAGACTTGAAAAGGGGAAAGAAAAAAAACCTAAATAAAAAGAAACCATTTTTTTTGAGTTTTTTTGCTGCAAGGATGATGGCAAGCACTGAAAGGGCTGCCCTTTGGAGCTCTCCATCCTTGGAGCTGCTCACAGCCCGCCTGGATCCTGTGTGGTGCAGTGCCCTGGGAACCCCTGCTTTGGGCAGGGGAAGGGCTGCAGACCTCCAGTGGTGCCTTCCCACCTCAGCACCACTGAGCTCAGTGCAGCTCATGATCAAGCATTAAATGCAGCATTAAATCCTGGGGAGGCTGCCCAGGAAAAGCCTCCTGGAGGCTAAAATGGCACTAAGGAACAGAGTGCTCCATAATCATGGGGCACCCCTGGCTTCTCACCTTCTCTCTAGGAAATACATGAGCTGGGGAAAAGGAACTGCTAATTTACACTTGCATAATAAAGCCATGGCTCCCAGGCACAATCCTTGCACGTCATCCAGGTACAATCAGCCCTCACTTTCCAAAAAAAGAGCTCCTTGCTTTTCCTAAACAAAGGCTTTGTCCATGGTTGCCAAAAATCCCTAAGCTGTGCTGACGAGAGCAGCAGTGGCAGACAGGGGTGCCAAGAGCATCCAAGAGACCTCCAGCATCTATTCCACCCTTACCTGGCTCTACCTCCAAAGACACGTGTCAGTCTGCACCGAGCTTCCTCCACTGCCAAAGGAGCTGTGCTGCTGAGAGCAATCTGAAGATAAAACTTACTGAAGCAAGTCCCTGCAAACACACCAGTCTCCAAAAACCACTCACAGAGCATCTGTCAGCAGCCTGACCCAGCCTACAGCTCAGAAACTTGGAGAGGTGAAATGAGAAGGGACACAAAGCCCCCCAGGCCGAACAGCTGGAGATGACGCAACAAAAAAAAAAAATCCCATTTCCCCGGTTATTTGGTCCTAAAGTGGTCATTGAAAACGAGCCTGGAACAGCACATCCTGCTCTGGCCACCTTCCCAGCACACTGCAGCACATCCAGCAGTGGGGAAGTAAAATTGCTGTGCTAGGGAAACAATGTTGGAAGTGTCCTTGCCTGGGAAAGGCACAGAATCATTTCTGGGCTTTGCCCATCACTGGCACGTGCATGGGCAGAGGGGAAAGGGGACCTCGTACCCAGCAGACCAAAGGACCAAACTGCAGGACACCAGAACAGGCAGCAGACTGCAGGAGGAAGAGGGTGGGGAGAGCAGGAACAGAGGGAGCCAAACAAACACAACTCATAGATCAGTGCACCACAGGGAAGAGGAAAATAATAAATAAACACAGGTGGATTATTATTATTATTATTATTATTATTATTATTATTATTATTCCCTGTGCCTGCTGAAGGGCACCGAGGCTGCCTCTGGCTTCCCAAACTATGAGAGGAGCCTCAGCTGGCCACTAACACAGCACAGCTTTCCCCACATGTATGTTCCATTCTTTCTTCTTTCCTCTTTATGGCTTTAGTCTAACACAAATATAACACAAGAGAACACTCAAGGCTTTGGGTCGGTTTTTTTTTCTTGGCAGTGTTTAAGGAGAACCACACAGGTAACATGAATGAAAATCCACCTTGGAGGAGCACAGTGAAGCTCCTTAGGAAAATAAGGAATAGATAAGGATGACAAGCAGTTTAAATTCCCTTCACCCACAAAAGCAGGAAGGAAAAAAAAAAAAGAAGAAAAGGGGGGGGGGAAATGATGATTTTAAGACAGATGGATCTAAGACACGGCAGATGGATGAGATATCGAGGTGCACAGAGGAGACAGGGAGGCAGATGCATGAAATCCACCCCTGGCACAACGTCATCGACAACACACCTGAGAGGGAAGGACTGGCAGCGCCCTCCCTGTCTGCCAGACCATTTCAGATAAGCTCCCTGCTTTCCAAGGAAACAACACTTACCTCCCTGTGTGCACAGCCAGTGCAGGATGGGGTGTGGGGGTGCTTTTGGAGAGGCAGGTCCCCCCTTTAGAGCCCCCAGCCGAACACCTCGCTCGTGCCGACAAGAACGGCTTCCCCAAGGCTGGATGTGCAACCCACCACGAGAAAACATAAAAATAAACCACAAATGCAGTTCTCTCTGTCTCTCCACTCTCAGTTAGGATTAATCTTATCACTGGTTGGCATTTCTACAGCATCCCTGGCCAAAGAGAAGATGTAATGTGGTCTTACTTGTTTCATGTCCCTTCCTCTGGTTGGAAAGCACCAGCCGGTTGCTAGGGCTGTGCTGTTCACTTTTCAGTAGGTGGAGATTTTTTTTTATTTTTATTTTTGAATGACACACAAACCCTCTGGCTACAGTGCTTGTGAAGACGTTTTCCAAACGGTTCGCAGAGAAAACAAAACGCTGCCCTGCAAATAAACACGAGGGAAAGCCAGGGGAAAAAAAACAAAACCAAAAGAAAAACACAAAAAACAAGGGGCTTTGTGAATGGAACTGCAGTCTGTTGATGCTGCCTGAATATGGATTTCAAAATCAGATATTTAATTAAGATGGTAGACTTCAAAAAGAAGAGGGGAAAAAAAAAGCCACTTAAGCATTTTACATATGTAGGAAATGATAGTTTTGCCACCCAGAGGCTGCCTCTCCTCTAGATCTAACAACACACACAGAGGCATCGAGGGGCAATGTCCTCAAGCCTATTTTTGTTGCTGTTTTTGGGGGTGGTCTCATCCTGGATGTCCACCTGCAAAACACACCAGGCTTTAAAAGCCAGAGGTTGCCAGGGCTTGGGGAGGATCAGCTGCCAGCAGGTCTGAAGGCCAAAGGACACACCGTGCCCTGGATGTGACCTCCCTGAGGAAGGGCAGGGGCTGCCCTTCTGTCCCACTCTCCTTCCTCTCTCTGCACATGGGCTGCCAATGCTCAGTGTTGGGAAATAAAGCACCAGCTCCAGGTTTTTGGCATGGCATGATGCAGTAAGATGGATGGTTTGAGTTTCCCATCTCTCCCAATTCACACACAAAAGCTTCTTAAGCCAGGAAATTTTGATGCACAGAAATTAAGATTAGAGTTAAAAAAGGACAGGCTGTCACCCCCCAGCTCACCATGAAAGTCAAGGGAAAAAGCTAAGAAATTGCAGTCATCTTTTATGGGGAGGGTTATCCTGTTCCACAGCAAAAGTAAGACCCCAAATGCTGTCAAAAATCCACAACCTTCATTCTCAGTCCTATATCTACAAGATGACTGCATGAGAGGTCTAAAGCAACTTCTGGGTTCATCTCTCTTGCCTCACAACACTAGAACAATACACCCTCAGCAATTGATTCTTATAAAATAAAGCTCTACTTCATGAAGACAAATGTTGTTTCAGACACGTTTATTTGTCTTCTGGCAGGCCAGAAGAGAAATACAAACACACAGAGGTTTATTTGCAAAACACATTTCAATCACGATTAAGAATGGTTTCAAAATGAATTCAGTCTAAATCTCTGGCACAGTTTCTCATGGGATGTTTTGAAGATGCTCAACTGTAGTGCCACCAGTCAGTAGCAGTTCAACACTTACTAATGCATATATTCAGATCATTTACACCAAGAGTCATTAACATTTCTTCTAATGTAAAATCAACTCCATTTCACTCCATCCAGGCCTGAAAGAAGAAACTAAAAAAGAAAATGGATCCTTGGTGAACATATTGCATATCTTATGGAAATAACACGGAGAAATGTCTGAGCACGAGGCAGTGAGAGGAAGCTAGTTAGGGCCCTGATGTGCTTTTGGGCAAGGAATTCAGACACTGTCCCCTTTCCTGGCCTGGAGCCAGGGACCTCTGCCTGGTTCTTCCCAGCAGGTACCTGAGCTCTCAATCCAACACTGGCTCAACAGGCAGAGGCAGAAAGATCTGCTGAGACCAGGCTCATCCTCTGGCTGCTCCTTCCATGTCCAAATCCTGCATTTTGGGAAGGTGGCTACAAGGAGCCCTGGCCCTGAGCCCAGAGCTGCCGGGCTCAGCACCCTCCGAGAGCCCGACACTCACCCATGCAAAAAAGGGATAAACATTATTACAGATAAACCCAACCCAAACACTGGCAAAGGCTCACTTTAAACTGATAATGTCTATTTATTTTTATATCCATAAATAATTTTCGTTTTGAATTTGCTGAGCAGTGACATCAAAGCAATACCCTTCTCCTATGACGCAGGACTGCAAAAAGGGCAACAAATGTCCCTTTGTTCCCCAGGTCCAGATCCTTTCTTTGTTCCCTGAATTTCATTATTTCTTTATTTCACAACAAACATTATTTATTTCCTTTAACTGATAAAAATGAATGGAAGAACACTGAGCATAAAAGCCCATCCCACAGCATGTAAGGAACGCCTTGAGATAAAAGTTATCAGGCCACAGAAATGACTTAAAAGTATTTTGAGAGCATAAAGCACAGAAGCCCTTCCAAGATGTGACTGTTTATACCTGGGAAAAACTTACTTCAAATCACACAGCAACTTTTATCACCAACCAGCTCAGTGCATTCTGCACTTTGCCTCGAAATTTGTTAAACACATTAGTCGTAAATCAAAAGCTAAGCCTTGATGAGATAAGCATCCTTCAGATACTCTGACTGAGAAGCATACACAGCAAACTGCTTATATAAACACCCAAAGTCTCTGAGTCAAGGTTTATGGCTTACAATCATCTCCAGTTACAAAACAAACCCTTTATTTTGGTCTGCAGTACTGAAATCATTTTGCTTGCTTATCTCTGCTACCCTGTTCTCCAGCAGTTCTTTTTTTTTTCCTTCTTTTTCTGTTGCAATCAAAAGTTTTCAAAGCCTTGACAGGTTGTGTTGTTTTGTGATGTGCAAGTGGGCTCTGTGATTGCTGGATGGTAGGGAGGCAGCTCCTTCCCTGCACAGCAGCCCTGGAGTACCAATACCTGCCTCCAAACTCAGACTCACTTTCACTCTTTTCTCACAATTCAAGGCCAAATGGAGACTTGCAAAATAAAAAACCCAACCAAACAAACACAGATCCACTTCATTCAGGTCATTCCTCTGTCAAGTTTAACTATTTGATACTCTTCAACTACTCACCTTGGAGAGTCTGAGAAACAACACATTGTTTTCTCACACATTTTGTTTGGGTTCTCTTATTAGAAAAACAACTGAGATATTCATTCCTCCCCCCCAAGACTTCTGGTGCAAGCAAGGAAATGCCTCACATTCCCTGGTAACATTTTACTGACACACCGTGGCCACAGAGGCTACGGAACAAAAGAGGCACTGTTGGCTGAGAGTCCAAAAGGTAGTTCTTAAAATCAGGGTAAGAACCCCCAGATCCTGAGGACTGACCTACATTTAGACACAACGTCATAGCTTGGGCCACTTTCTTTAAATGGGCTGGGTCCAAGGGTCAAATCCACAAACCTCCAGATTGGAAAGGATCTGGCTTTGGATTTTGGGTCTAAGAGTTTCCAAGATCCACCCTCTCAGAGTTGTCACTGCACAAGGCAAAAGCAGAGGGCACCCATCACTAAATAAAACACCTTTAGCTTGAACAGTGTTTTAATAAGGGCCTGCAGAAAACAACAAAGAACCCAACACCTGTCATTTTGCAGCATCAACTGTTACATGTAGAAAATCTGTGTATGTGTTGCATCCTCCCCCTTCTACCTGCCTTGGATTTTGCTGTCTTCAGGTTTACCTTTCAGGACTACTATGTAAAAGAAGAGTGTGGTATCTGAAGCACTTGCTCTGCATGGGAAGATACTTTCATTTTTCAAACCCGGGAACTTGAGGTTGCCAGAACCACCACTGCAACACCAACAACCCCCTGACATTCCATGATTTGCCAGCTCTCTCCTCTTGGCATTTCAAAAATTAGAAAGGGTAAAATTCAACGTGGTTAAGGAATCTTTTTGTTTTCCCCTCACAGTGGAATGGGACTGAATTTTAAAGAGAAAAAGATATGGGGGGAAGTGAGAAACAATAAATGGTAGGCCCATTTTCCCTCTGGTTTTCTCTTGTTCTCCTCAAAAGCTGGTGGACCTTTTCATCTTCTCCTAAACTAAAGCTTTCTTTGCCAATAACTCCTGCTGGAGCTTTGCCAACAGCCTGTGTTTAGGGAGGGCAATTGGGAATCCAAGTCCCTGGGACCCTCCAGTCCCTCAGCAAAGCAGAGCCCCGGGACTGATAACCAGGAATTTCAGCAACACTGGAGCAAGCAAAGATTTATTTTACTTCTTTTTTTTTTTTTTTTTTCCAGCCAGGGGGCAGAGTGCTGTGGATTTTGGCTTGCTTTTTCAACACCCAGTGCCAAGAGATGAAGGACAAAAGCCGTGTGCTACCGCCTTGAGGAGCCAACAAAGATGCCTTCTCCATCCCATCTCAACCCATTTTCTGTTCTGTCAGACTCACACCTCCTCACCACCCCCTTGCAGGAAGATGTTTTCATGCCCTGGTGCCCCCTGTGGCCTCCAGCAGCACCCAAGGCTAAAGGAACTCAGTGGAACAGGGGCTGAGCTGTGCCTGGGGCTCAGAGGAGCTCCCAAGACAAGGATATTGGTGCCGGGGGAATGGAAACAATCCCGGGGTGGGCTGGAGGCTTCCATGGATAAGGATAATATGAGCATGGCCAAGTACTGAAGGGTATCTGCCACATGTTTAAGCCAGTCAGGTTTACAGACTCTCCAATTTCACCCCCTAAACTCCCTCAGAACTCGAGATCTTCCAGAGAAGTAATTCCCCGAAAATATTGTTTTTGTTGAGAAAGAAAAGCATCACTGAGCCACGTGGTTGCTGAAGGAAGTTTTGTGATCTACAAACATCCTGAAAGTGTGAACACAGAAGGGGCCCTTACTTGACATGAAACATAGTAAGGCATGGAAGGGAAGCAAGGCATGGGGAAGCAGGATCACCTCCTGCAATAGAGGGGAAAAAAAACATCTTAGGCTGCTTAACGGTGTCCCTTCCCTCAGCCTACAGACCTAATGAAAAGAAACTTTCAAAAACAACACAAGTAATTTAATAACATTTTAATTGAAAGATGCTTTTATGACATAAAAAAAGACCAAAAGCAACCTCACTGTTGTTTCACAGCTGCACTGGGAAAAAGTGGTTCTTGGGTAACTTTATAGTTTTCTACCTTTCCACAGCCCCACAGTAAGAGATGATGGCAAGGATGGAACAAT